TAAATGGCAATTGCATGGTCATGCAGCACTGTACACAAATGAAATTTATATCATTTTTGTTTTCACACAAATAGAGCATTCTTTTGGTGGTATTTGATCATCACTGGGTTTTTTTTTCATTTTTATTCTATAAACAAAAAAAAGAAAAATTTTGGAACAAAATGTTTCTACTTTATGTTATAAAACAAATCAAATTAAAAAATCTAATCTCGTCATAAATTTAGGCCAAAATGTATTCTGCTTCATGTCTTTGGTAAAAAAAAAATCCCAGTAAGTGTATATTAATTGGTTTGTGTGAAAGTTATAGCATCTAAAAACGATGGTATATATACTAGAATTTTCTCCGCTCTGGCACTATTCTGGTAATGGCGGAGATGAGCTAATTATAATTGGACTGTGAAAATGGCAGGCAATCTGGCACTAGCTGATGGTGGCTGGGAGGTACACTAACTGACTTACTGACATCAATAGTGACACTAATGCAGTGATCAGTGATAATACTGTACACTGATATAGTACTAATGGTACTGGCTGGGAGGGGGTTAAAGCGGAGTAACACCCAAAAGGCGAAGTTCTGCTTTAATGCATTCTCCCCTGCTCCCTGTTAAGGACTGGCACCTTTGGGGAGCGGGTACCCGAATTTGACAGGTACCCGCTCCCACTTCCGCTGTGATTGCCTAGGCGGTTGGAAGCAGAAGTTGTCTTCCCCCCTTCCTCCCCGTAGTCTTCTGGGACATGTGACAGGTCCCAGAAGACTATGGGACCATTCACAAAGTGCAGCGCTACTCACGCATGTGCAGTGGGCACCCGGCTGTGAAGCTAGAAGCTGTCACAGCCGGGTGCCAACACTGAAGATGCCGGCGCCTGGCAGAGAAGACCGGTGAAACCAGCCGTGGTGAGTACACTGCTGGACCAAAGGGACAGGTAAGTGTGTGTAGTTTAAAAGTCAGCAGCTACAGTTTTTGTAGCTGCTTACTTTTATTTTATTTATTTATTTTTTTAAATCAGCTGGAACTCTGCTGTAATGTCTAGGCCTGCCTGTAAATGTACAGCGGCGGGACGTCAAGTGGTTCAAAGACCACAATAGTGAAAATATTTAATTCTGGTAATCATTTGCAAAGTGCCAAAAATTACTCCTTGATCTTGTTAGAAATTCAAAGCTGTTCCGTGTCCTCGGCACAGTTCCTGTGTTTACTCAAGCAGTCTAAATCGCCTTCCTAGTTCTAATCTTCTCACAATGAATGACTAAACCTAAAATGTTGTGGAATGAAGATTGGGGGGGGGGGGGGTTGAGTACTGGGTGGGGCTGACATCACTTGGTCCTTAAAAATGTTGTGTTTTGTCGGCCCACAACAGGATTTAAGGCAGCCATTGATAGATCATAATTTGGATGGTTCAGCAGGGAATGGACGAATTTTGGTCCACCTATGGGCAGGTTGGTTGTATAGAAGTCAATCTCTCAATTGACTTTTGTGCAACCAGCCTGTTGGAAAATTTTCACTTGATTAGTGCCGCCTGCTATAGCCAGTGGTGTTGATGAGTGTATTCTGACAGCAGGAAACTCTCCCTACTGTGAGAATTCATTAGCGCCACGGAATGGATTCCCCCATCCACATCAATATATATAGATGGGTGAATCCATTTCTTTTCTTTCGTTCAGCCCACTGGTTGAATTAAAGAAAACGAATAATGTATTGCCTGCTTTAAAGTGAAAGAAATGCCTAGCTATAACTGTTCTTAAAAATTTCCCCTCCCCCCTTCCCTCCTACCTATCCTGCCTAAGCTGTATAAAAAAAGATCTGTCCTCTGTCAGTCCTGTCTGGCCCAGTGAGGTGATCCTGCAGCTCTGTTCCCATGGCCCAGCCATTGTCTGTGCTCCTTGCTCTCCCCTGCAGCAGCTGCTTACTGACACAGGAAAGCTGAGGCTATAGAATCATGTGACTAAAGAGGAGCAGATTAAAAATAAAGTATAACAAAAGGCAAAACGTTTTTTTTTTTTTTTTTTGGTTTATTGGTGTTTTTGTCCTCCGTTAGGATGATTCGCCCTCTCTATTTCTTCTGTTTACCATTACCATTGAAATTAAAAGAAAATTCCAAATCCTGGGTTGTCCCCAGAAAAGTAATTGAATGGAAATCTTCCAATGAGGACAGTAGTTCTAATAACCTGAAGGTCCCCACGAGATTCCCTTAATTTGCAGGAATTTCCTCTCAGTTCCTGTTTTGGCTATGGGACAGGAAGTGAAGGTAAATATCCCCAAGTGAACAAAGATGGCAAAAATAAACTGTACAGGGGTTATAACCCTCCCTTACTCTATACAAAATGTCAAAAAAAGTTTTGCCTGTAGTTTACTGTAACCCCTTGGCTCTGGCACCTCCTGGCTCTCCTGGCCCTTTAAGGGGTTTTAGATGCTGGGAGGCGGTTTGGGGTTTGTGATCATGTGACCGCTATGATTGGCTGCCACAGTGGTCCCATGATCAGAAAGCTCCTGATCGCAGTAGAGACCGGGCCATTGGGTAACTGTGCCAGGAGCGCTCAAAAATGCATGTTCTCGGCACATTTGGGGTTTTTTTTGTGGCGGGGTACGCATATATATGGCCTTTCAGTGTTCAGGCCCACCCAACAAGAGGCAGCATATATTATTAGATTAGGCAGGATAGTTACAGTAGTAGGATGGGAGAGACATGATTTTTAAGTTAGGCTTATCTTCCACATTAAGAGCCAAGTTCATTTCTGAAACATTAGCAAGGATCTTTCCTTACTTGCAATATCTTTTCACACAGCAAAAAAACAGCCTGACTGGTTTGAATCTTTCACTACTCTATCCAAAACTAAAAAGAAAAAAAAAAAAAATATTATCTCCTTTTTGGCTAGGTTCATATCTATGTACACTATATTGCCAAAAGTATTGGAACAGCCCTCCAAATCATTGGATTTAGGTGTTCCAATCCCCTCCATGGTCACAGGTGTACAAAATCAAGCACCTAGGCATGCAGACTGCTTCTACAAACATTTGTGAAAGAATGGGTCGCTCTCAGGAGCTCCATGAATTCAAGCGTGGTACTGTGATAGGTTGCCACCTGTGCAATAAGTTCATCCGTGACATTTCCTTGTTACTAAATATTCTACAGTCAACTGTTAGTGGTATTATAACAAAGTGGAAACAACTGGGAACAACAGCAACTTGCGCAACATGACAGAGCGGGGGTCAACGCATGCTGAAGCGCACAGTGCGCAGAAGTCGCCAATTGTCTGCAGAGTCAATAGCTGAAGACCTCCAAACTTCATGTGGCCTTCAGATTAGCACAACAGTGCGTAGAGAGCTTTATGGAATGGGTTTCCATGGCCAAGCAGCTGCATCCAAGCCTTACATCACCAAGTGCAATGCAAAGCGTCAGATGCACTGGTGTAAAGCACGCTGCCACTGGACTCTAGAGCAGCGGAAACGTGTTCTCTGGAGTGACCAATCACGTTTTGCTGTCTGGCAATTCTATGGATGTGTCTGAGTTTGGCGGTTTCCAGGAAAATAATACTTGCCTGACTGCATTGTGCCAAGTGTACAATTTTTTGGTGTGGGGTTGTTTTTCAGGGGTTGGGTTTGACCCCTTAGTTCCAGTGAAGGGAACTCTTAAGTCTTCAGCATACCGAGAAATTTTGGACAATTTTCATGCTCCCACCTTTTGGGGGAAGAGTTTGGGGATGGCCCCCTGACCTTAAGCTGATAGAACACCTTTGGGTGAATTAGAGCAGAGACTGCGAGCCAGGCCTTCTCGTCCGACATCAGTACCTGACCTCACAAATGTGCTTCTGGAAGAATGGTCAAACATTCCCATAGACACCCTCCTCAACCTTGTGGAGAACCTTCCCAGAAGAGTTGAAGCTGTTATAGCTGCAAAGGGTGGGCCAACTCAATATGAACCCTACGGACTAAGACTAGGATACCATTAAAGTTCATGTGCGTGTAAAGACAGGCCGACCAATACTTTTGGCAATATAGTGTATCAGGCTGCATAAAACAAATATATACATGAGGAAAGGGGGGTGCACCTACTGTAGAAGTCTAGCTTTTTGTCATGGGAATTGATGTGCTGTTGCAGTTCAGAGCTCATAAACCGGCAATTGCATTCATAACATGGCCAGTTCTTCTCTTGCTCTCTGAGGACTGACAAGTCCCAATACTTTTGGCAATACAGTGTATGTTCTGTTGATACATTTTTGCAGTGCATTCCCGGCATGTTTTGTGTTTTTTTTTTTTTTTTTTTCATCCGCATTTTTTGATGCATTTTGCAATTTCTACTTTGGGCAATGGTAAGCTATGTATTGATTTTGCTAGGCAGAGATGTCTATTGTCATACAGAAAAATGAAGCAAAAACACATCAAAAACATGTTTGGAGAAAAAAAAAAAAAGTATGTATATGCGCTTTTCATGCAATTCCATTGAAGTCTTTGGAATCAAAAATGCACAGTGCTGCATGTAAAAAAATAAAACCACATTTCCAACAAAAACCACATTGCAGGAAACTGCATAGATATGAACAGGACCCATAGGAAATAATGAAATTTGTATTGTACTGTGTTTTTGCAAATACACTAAAAATGCAAAGATATGAACTTAGTCTTTTTCATTTTTATTTTGCTCAGAGTTCCACTTTAGTGTGCGAAGTAAAAGCCGTTTTGGTGTTTGCTGTGTAGTATTGTGATATTGCTTCATAAAGGATTGATTTTGAATGGCAAAAAAATACAGTTGAGAGGAAATTTCCTAAAGACATGGAATATAGCTTTTTTTTTTTCTTTGTGATTCTTTTCATAAACCTCCATATTTCCTTTTTTGTTCCTAATAGCTTCTTCTGTTCCCTGGGCATTGTATAAATGCAACTCACTCATAGTCTATTGAGGGAAGGGGGTGGAGCAAGGTCAGTCATTGGCCACTGGTAGTAAATACAGTATTTCTAGAGAAGTGTATGTGTAATCTGTTATGTATTCATTTGTGTTCATGTTCAGGCATCATTATCGGTGCATGATGGCGGTTTACCTCCTGTGGAGGGCGTGGAGAGCACAACAAACATGACTACATTGCAAAGTCCGAATACCAATTCACAGGCAAAGGACGATGATGATGACGAGGATGATGATGACGAGGATGAGGATGACGAGGAAGATGATGAAGATGAAGAAGAGGAGGACTCTGATGCAGATGAATGGGAACCAGATCCACCACGGCCTTTTGATCCCAATGACCTGTGTGAGTTTCTGGTACATTCAACGAATGTTGACGGGTTTCTTTTCGTATTATGTTTTTATGTCACATTTCAATCCTCCTTCTCGCCATCTGTAATTTTAAGGAGTGGAAAACAATGTGTGTACATATCATCCTTTCGCAGGGATATGTGTTTCACTCATCATTCTCTCGTCCTCCTCCACACTGTTTATAGTCCTCTAGACTTCAGTTGCTGGGCTTATCTACCACTAGATTACCATCAGCACTGTGTGATGGGAGAAGGGGGAAGGCCTGTTGTAAGATATTTTTGCCAAAAAATTGAGAGTAGCAGGTGTCACAGAAGGCAGCCAATAGCATGCGAGTTGATGTGAGATGAGATTTGAAGCGGCCTGTTCATCGTGTGTGCTTCTCGTGGGTTAATGCTAGTTAAATTCAGCAGGATGCACAAGTTCAATGTGCATTAATGCCAGTTCTTACCTTTCTTTCACTCCCCTGCTGCTCTGTTTGACTACTGTGGGGGTGGCTTTAAAGTAACCCTGTTGCATTGCAAAGCAATTATAGTTCACGGAAGATGGCCAGAGACTTCAGACATGTTACAGGAGGTGGTCAGAGATTGCAGGCATGTTAAGGAGGTGGGCAGAGACGGCAGATATGTTAAGGAGGTGATCGGAGACTGTAGACATGTTACAGGAGATGGTCGGAGAATGCAGACATGCTACAGGTGGTGAGCAGAGAATGCAGACATGTTACAGGAGGTGAGTGAGCGGAGACTGCAGACATGTTACAGGAGGTGGGAGACTGCAGAGACTGTAGACATGTTACAGGAGGTGGGCAGGTCAGAGATTGCAGGCATGTTACGGAGGTGGGCGGAGAGGACTGCAGACATGTTACAGGAGGTGAGGTGGGCGGAGACTGCAGACACGTTTGGAGGGTGGGCGGAGAGTGGACGTTAGAGAGTTCAGACACATTAGAGGAGGTGGGCGGAGAGTGCAGACACACATTAGAGGAGGTGGGCGGAGAGTGCAGGAGGAGGCGGAGAGTGCAGACACGGAGGTGGGCAGAGACTGCTGCAGAGATGTTAGGGGAGGTGGGTGTAGACTGCAGACATGTTAGGGGAGGTGGGCGGAGACTGCAGACAGGTGGGTGGAGACTGCCTACAGGTGATGGTAGACGGCTGCAGGGAATGAATGCATGCTAAAGGCCTTTGCTTCCCTGCCACTCCCTTCATCTGCAGAAGCCAAAAAAATACCCCGTACTTTGCTTACTTAGGAGCATATTCTGCTGGGAAGGGCTAAAATAAAGCAAACTGCTTGCTTTCCCCTATGTAGGTGAACCACATATTCACACTAAGGTACTGTATATGTAAACCCATTCAGTTAAAATAGAAGTGAAAGGCAAAACATTTGTGTATTCATATAAGAAACATTATAAACACCTTTTTTTTTCCTCTTTTATATAAGTGATTACATACCCTCTGTTCTCAGCTGCATAAGCAACTCAGAGAGCTAGGTAAGAAGACACAGCAGTACACTGATTTTCCCAGTGAATGGCTGTGCAGGGGGGTGGCTTGTCAGCAGAAGTCTGGTCATTGGAGGAGAGTAGACTGAGTTTCTCAGCACAGATAGAGAACTGACCACGATGTGCTCTCATGTGTAGTGTGGTCAGTTTTTAATCAGAACGCAGAGGAACTGGCAGGAACACCAGTGATTTTACACAAAGGAAGTGGTACAAAGAGAACAAAATACTTTCTATACAAGTACATGAAACAGCAGGCACATATCAAGAATAAGAAATGTTAGGTTACATATTCTTTAAAACAAGGGAAAAAAAGGTTTTGTTTGGACCATTCAGTCAGCAATAGGATGTAATACAGAGAGCAGATTTGTGCTGTACTGACTGTTAATGCAATTTATCTCTATTGGAGCGGCATGTGGAGTCTTCATTCCATGTCTTCCTCAGGAGAGTTGTCTGCACTCCGGGGAACTGGAAGGGATTAGCACAAGTTAGAGATATATTTGATGCTTATAAGATGGTTGTTCTTTAGGGACTTCAGCCTAATGCAATCCCCCTTCAGCCTGCCTTCTAGGTGATCAGAGCCTCCAGATCTTCTTGTAGCCGCCCCAGGGAGTGAATGTTGCTAGGAGACTACAAGATCTAATGCTTCAGAAATAGTATAGTATAAAGCAGTTAGATCAGTGGTGGGCAACCTGTTTTATTGGGAGGGGAAGGGATGGGATGAGGTATCTGAAATGGCCCACAGATTTATATAGAAAAAAGTAAAAAGATATATTAAATTATAGAAAAGTGCAAAGATATAAAACAAGAACATTGCTTGCAATCAACAAGATATTGTTTGATGGCTTTTGTCTGCAATCTAATGCTGTGCATTGGTTGCTTAGATGAACTAGAAGCACAGGAGAGAGAGAGAGAGAGACCCCCCACGTGTGGGGTGTTTGAGGAGGTTTCAGCTCACAAAAGGGCAGAAGGGACCAGAATGGAGGGAACATATATAACAAATGTGGGTCAATGTTCCATTCATTCACAAAATGGAAATCCGCAGGCTCTACCCACTCCAGGCAATGATTTTATTTCTGTCAGGGTTGCACCACACATCCCAGCAGTCCCAGTGCTCTGATAGCAGCACTCAGCTCATATGAAACTAAAAGTCCTGATGTCCAGATAGCGGCAGACAGCCAAAATAGAACTACAAGTCACAGTGTCCAACTAGTAGCATGCAGCCAGTATGGAACTACAAGTCCCTGCAATTCAAAGCTACTTCCTTAAATCTCCATCTAGTCTCATTCTTGTAAGAACCTGGAACCATGAGTTTCTTCCTTCCCTATAACTGGAGTAACTTTGTGTATACTCCGGCTCTCTTCTGCCATTCAGCAATCACAGACCTGAGCCCAGATTCCCAGTGCTGAATTGTCTAGCTGTGTTCTGGTACAGGATATGTTGAATCCAGTGTCCCTGCTGAATCTCCAGACCCCCCGTGTGGACACAGAAACCCATTGACCAGGCATGCAGATCATCTGACTTATTGACACAGACTAATATTTTCCTATAACATTTTGTTTTATAGAAGCTGCTGATTTTTCTTTAAATCTTTTACTACCACCGCCGAGAATTTCACAGTGTGCAGTGAAATCAGAGTAAGCAATTTCAATACAAGAGAGGAGCCTGTACAACTGTTCAAGACTGAAGGGAAGGCTGGCTTTCAGACTTAACCGTGTCTACTCTATACAAAACTAAAAAAAAAAAGTTGTGGCTTTAGATATACTTTTGTACTATAAATGCACACTGCCTGTTATCCAAAACAGAATTTATGAGCCATTCAACACTGCAGAGTTGATAGTGATTCACAGTCACAAACAGTAGGGCCGGTCATACATTATACAATTTTCTTCCTTCAAGCATGGGTGGAAGGAAACAAATTTGCTCGATTTCCCCATCAACACAGTCAGTCAGTGTTGATGGGGGAACCCCTCCCCCAGCGCTATTGTGTTTTTCCGGCAGGGAGCCTTCCCCAACGGCAGATTACAATGATCACTGCTGGCGGCTATAGCCACCGGCAGTGATCGGTAGAAAAAAAAAACCCACAGACTGGTTGTACTGAAGTTGATTGCTCAAATTGAGTACAATTAGCCTGCCCATAGATGGATGGAAATACAGCCAGTTCCTGCCGAACTGGCTGCATTTTGATCTTTGACCTCCTCAGGTTCTGCACTCTTAAGCTAGCCACTTACATTATGTTCAACATTGTTTCCTGAATGCTGCCCTAACCAGTGTCACTTTTGAGAACAAAGCTTACCCTTTAACTGTAAAAAGATGAAACTTTGTGTTGGATGTGTGACAGAGTGAGACCAATACAGTGGGTAAAATAAGTATTTTCCTCAGTAAATATATTTCTAAATGTGCTATGCAGTTTTCACCACACGTCGGTAACAACAGATGCAATCCATACATAGAAAGAAACCAAAATAAATAAGTTCAGAAATTGAGTTACATGTAATAAAATGGAATGACACAGGGAAAAAGTATTGAACACGCTAACTGAAATGTATTTAATACTTCGTACAAAATCCTTTGTTGGTAAAGACAGCTTCAAGACGCCTTCTGTATGGAGAAACTATTTGCATGCATTTCTCAGGTGTGTTTTTGGCCCACTCTTCCAAAGTCTTCAAATCTTGAAGGTTCTGTGGGCCTCTTCTATGAACTGTTATTTTTAAATCTTTCCATAGATTTTCTATTGGATCCAAGATGATTTACTGGGCCATTCTAGCAGTTTTATTTCCTTTTCAGTTGATTGTTTCTTTGGCTATGTGTTTGGGATCATTATCTTGCTGAAATGACCCCATCGTTTCATCTTCATCATCCTGGTAGATTCTGGTAGATGGCAGCAGATTTTTATCAAGAATGTCTCGGTACATTTTTTCATTCATCCTTCCTTCAGTGATATGAAGTGTGCCTGTACTGTATGCTGAAAAACAGCCCCACACCATGATGTTCCCACCTCCAAACTTCCCTGTTGGTATGGTGTTTTTGAGGTGATGTATAGTGCCATTTGACCTCCAAACATGGGGTGTGTTATGGCATCCAAAGAGTTCAATTTTGGTCTCATCTGACTAGACTATATTCTCCCAGTATTTCACAGGCTTGTCTAAATGTTGTGCAGCAAACTTTAAAGGAGCTTCAACATGCTTTTTCTTCAGCAATGGAGTTTTGCATGGTAAGTGCATATACAGGCCATGGCAGTTGAGTGCATTACGTATTGTTTTCTTTGAAACAATTGTACCTGATAATTCCAAGTCTTTCTGAAGCTCTCTACAAGTGGTGTTTGGCTCTTGGACAACTCCTCTGTCAGAAATCTTGCAAGGAGCACCTGGTCGTTGCTAGTTTATGGTGAAATGATGTTTTTTTTTTTACTTCCAGATTATGGCCCCAACAGTGCTCACTGGAACATGTAAAGGTTTAGAAATCATACAGTAACCAATGCCATCAGTATGTTTTTCAACAATAAGGTTGTGAAGGTATTGAAAGAGCTCTTTGCTTTTACCCATCATGAGATGTTTCTTCTGTGACACCTTGGTAATGACACCTTTTTATAGGCCATCAGTTGACACTGAACCAGCTGATATTAATTTTCACTGACAAGAGGCAGGACTGCTTTCTAATTACTGATAGATTTTCATCTGGTGTCTTGGCTTTCCATGCCTTTTTTCCACTTCTCTTTCTTCATGTTCAATACTTTTTTCCCTCTGTCATTTCATTTTATTACACATAAGTTAATTTCAGAATTTGTTTTTTTTTGTATGTATGGATTGTATGGGTTGTTACCAAGATGTGGTAGAAATTTCATGTCAATAGCACCTTTAGAAATATATTTACCTAGCAAAATGGTGACGTGTTCGCTACTTATTTTACGCTCTGTTTATGACCTCAAACATAATTGGTAACACACAGGATTCTTTTTTTTTCTGTTTTGTTTTGCAGGGTGTGAAGAGTGCAATAATGCCCATCCATCAGTGTGTCCGAAACACGGGGCCCTCCATCCAATTCCAAACCGTCCTGTATTGACCCGAGCTCGAGCCAGTTTTGCCCTTAGTCTTGTACATTGATCGCTTCCTTGGAGGGGTGTATTCCAAGCGCCGTATTCCCAAGCGCACCCAATTTGGACCTTTGGAAGGACCTTTAGTTAAAAAATCAGAGCTGAAGGATGGCTACATTCATCTGAAGGTTTGTGAGAGAGACTTTTTTTTTTCCTGAATATGAGGAATGGAGAGTTAGAATCAAGGGATAACTAAAGATTGTAGAATTACTTTAAAGGAAGGGAAAGAAGTGATGTGGTGAGAGGACATGATTTAGGTGACAACAATATTAACAAAGGTGGATATGTAGGACACAATGGGAGGACATTTGTCAAGCAAATTGGTGCCAAAATTAGATGTCAGGCTGCCTTCCAATTAGCCAAGTCTATGTGATAGTTAATCTATGAATTTGCAGTCCCTGTACCTGTAATTATGGGCAGCTGTGACAAATTCAGCACTGAAGATGAGAATTTCACTAATAAAGTGGCTGTAAAGACATATGATTTTTACCTTTTAATGCATTCTCTGTGTTAAGGTAAAAAAACGTCCATGGTCACCTTCTCTTCCCTTCCCAAATACGTACCTGAGTCCTATTGTGATCCAGCACTGCTCTTTCTTGCCTCATAGGACTCAGAGGCAGCAGTGGGAGCTACTGCTGACAATCAAATGCTGTAGAGGAGGCAGTAGGGGGCAGGGTCAATCCACGCTGTGTATGTCTATAGACACACACATCCTGGCTCAGAATCAAGCCAGCACGAGTGCCCCCATAGCAAGCGGATTGCAATGAATGCACTCGGATGGGAGGAGCAGCCGAGAAGACCGGCAGGGGACCCCAGAAGAGAAGGAAATGGGACCACTGTACAGAACAAGTATAACATGTTATTTTATGGAAAAAAATGAAGCTTTACAATCACTTTAAGAAAATGGGGTGCTACTTAGAATAGCAGAGGGATTCATCTATGAATTAAGCTGCAAAATGATCTTTCTCATTACTTCTGTTTTAGTAGAATTGATAGCTGTTCCCTATAATGGTGGTGGGCAGCATGCCTTGCGAATAACAGTGATGGTGCTAAGTGGAAGACCTTGTGGTTAATAGTGGTTGTAGTGGTAGAAGGCCTCAGGAAGAATAGTGAAGGGGTGGGTAGAAGGCCTTGGGAATAATAGTGATGGTGCTAAGTGGAAGACCTTGTGTTAATAGTGGTTGTAGTGGGTAGAAGGCCTCAGGAAGAATAGTGAAGGGGTGGGCAGGTGCCTTGGAATAACAGTGATGGTGCTAAGTGGAAGACCTTGTGGTTAATAGTGGTTGTAGTGGGTAGAAGGCCTCAGGAAGAATAGTGAAGGGGTGGGTAGAAGGCCTAGGGAATAACAGTGATGGTGCTGCGTGGAAGACCTGTGGATAGTGGTTGTAGTCGGTAGAAGGCCTCAGGAAGAATAGTGAAGGGGTGGGTAGAAGGCCTTGGGAATAATAATGGCTGTAGTGAGTAGAAGGCCTTGGATATGATGATGATGGTGTGTAGAAGGTCTTGGAATAGTAACGGAGGAAATACATTAGTAGATAGAGAATTGCATGGTGAGAGGGCTGTGGCTTGCAGGGAGTGGGCTGGGCGGCATTTGGGAATATTGGAGAGTAGATTTTGGCAAGAAAGACTTGGAAGGTCAGCAAGAATTGTGGGAAGAAAGGAATAAATGACTAACATTTTTTAAGCAGTGCTTTTCATTGATGGCTTTTGGGGATTATTATAGTGTATCTAAAGCCATTTTTGGATATAATGGTAAGAGATTAGATCCTCTGTTGGTTTCATTTGCTGTCTGTGTCCCTGCTCGGTCTCTGGACTCCTCTGTGTCCTGATAGTCACTGTTCCTGGCAGTGAAAGTGAAGGGAAAAGTCATCATTTTTAGTTACCACCAGAACAGAAAAAAGGGAAAACTTCCAATGGGGACACTTGTTCCAGTGTCAGCTGTGTTAGAAGCGTTTCCCTAGCCTCAGAGAGATTTCCTCTGACATCCTGTTGCATCTACAGCAGGAAGTGAAGGGAGATCTCCCCAGTGGGTGGCAGATGGCAAAATAAATTCCTTACAGGGGTTTTACCTATTCCGTGTTCTACACTTTACGCATTCAGGAAAGGTGTAATTCATTCGATCACTTGTTTCTTGCAGGTGTCCCTCAGTAACCCTCTGGACTCCCAGGATGCCTTTCAGGAGGATCTTTGGTTTGACCTGTCTGAAGAGAGTCTATGTAACTGGATGATGTTTGTCCGACCAGCACAGAACCATTTAGAGCAGAATCTAGTGGCCTATCAGTACGGCCAGCACATCTATTACACCACCATTAAGAATATCGAACCAAAGCAGGAACTGAGGGTACTGGGCATTAATAAACACAATTGTGTAATCATGGGGAAATGAATATCTTAGACAAGGGGTCTTCATGTAGAATAGAAATCTTCCAGCTTCTTCAGCCTCCCTGTGTAACAGTGTGCTGTTGTCCATAGTTCCCAGACCTCCCAGAGGTCTGTATTTCTGGATTTTACTTGCAGTTCTTTCTGATGGCTAACTGTGGGATTATGATATTACTCTAAAACACAACCTATGGGACCCCCTTGCATTTTATTGGTCAACTTCAGCCTACCAATTCATATTGGCAAGAAAGACAGGATTAATTTTCACTACAAATAGGTGGGCTGTGTGTTAACACGATCTCCACCTTATTCAGTCAGAGAGCCCTTTGTATTTATTGAGAAAACTACTTTATGAATTACATTAAGTAGGTCACATTACCTTTTATCTGTTATAGAAAAATATTTGGCAGGGTTTTCTGGAAGTGTTTTTTTTTTTTTTTGTTTTTGTTTTTTAATAGTTACATGACAATAAATAATGCTCCTGTGTTCATCTGTAGGTTTGGTATGCTGCATCCTATGCTGAGTTTGTTAATCAGAAGATTCATGATATCTCACAGGAGGAGAGGAAGGGTGAGTTGACATCGGTATGGTTTAGGGATAGATGGACCTCCATTCAGTAGGAGGGGTGGAACTATAAAGATGGCTGCTATAAAATAATGGTGTGTTTAAAGACTAATTTTTTTTTGTGTGCGTTTGTTAGGGTCCATGCACACTGGACTTTAAAAACACTGCTTCTACAGGAGTTTAGCGTTTTGCCTGTAGAAGCAGCTCAATGTTATCCTATGTGTCCATGTACATTAGGATGTTTAGGGGCATTTTTTAAGCTCGGCGTTTAGAGGCAGAAAAAACCCTTCTGAGTTGAGTTTTTGAGAGGAGATTGCTAGCACAAAAAAAACGCAAAACGCATGTATATGAGCGTTCTTTTTCTGCCATGGGAACTGGCTTTTTGTTTTAAGCCCAGTGTGCATGTTTTTTTTAGTTTAACACATTGAGTACAATAAGATAAACATCCCCCAGTGAATTAATTGATAAAATTCTTACCTCAGCACTTGCGGTTAACATCTTTCAATGCAGCTGAGCCTTGCTGCCTTAGTGCTGCTCTCCTGAACATCTTGCCTTTACAGGAAAGCATTAAGTTGATAGTGCAGTTTGGAGCCATCCTGTTAGTTTTGTAGAAGGGAGAGGGGAGGAGGAGGGGAGTTCCTTGCCATCCTAGGCTAAGGGGCTGTGTAGTTTCTATTGATGCACACAGTGTAGGAAGACAACTCTAGTCCCTGCATGCAAGGATAGCTCCATAGGATACTGCAAAGGAAAGGAGCCATCCTGAAACAGGAAACCTGGGGCAGCAGTCATGGTACAAGCTGAAGCTGAAACATAGGGAAGGAGTTAAAGATAAGAAAGCTGCACCCTCCAGTAAGTGATAAAGTACGCTGCTGAAAGTGCTTAAAACAAATTAGAGTTTAATCTCCATTTAACCCTTATTCTTTAAAATCATAACACCACTTATTAAACCTTTATCATACCATGAATGTTGATACATTTAAAAAAAGACAGTATTCCAGATACTCTCTTCTCTGATTTTAATGGCAGCTATGTGACTGCTATACCGCCCTGCCTCCCTAGGCTTCAAGCGGTAGGGTTGGAGACTGTTCAGGTCATTGAGTATAAAGATTAAAATTCCCACAATCCAATGCATAATGTACAGAGATTTCCAATTACAGCTAAAGATACAAAGAAATATTATTATTATACAGGATTTATATAGCGCCAACAGTTTGCTCAGCGCTGTACATTATAACATTATAGTGGGAGACAGTACACGAGACAGTACAGTAACAATACGATTCAATACACGAGGGGTTTGAGGGCCCTGCTCCTTGGAGCTTACGGTCTAGGAGGGAGGGGATAGTGGTACAGGAGGAAATAGCTGTGGGGGATGGAGTGGTAGGAAGAGTGGAGGAGTTCAGTAATTAGGTGAGGGCGGGGTAGGCTTCCCTGAAGAGATGGGTTTTCAGAGTGCGCCTAAAGGTGAGGAGAGTAGGTGATAGTCTGATGGATTGGGGTAGGGAGCTCCAGAGGATAGGAGAAGTCCTGGAGACGGGCATGGGAGGAGGAAACCAGGGAACTAGAGAGTAGGAGGTCTTGTGAGGAGCGGAGAGTACGTTTGGGTGGTATTTGGATACCAGATCGGTGATGTAGTTTGGGGCAGTATTATGAACAGCTTTATACGTCAATGTTAGTATTTTGAATTTTATCCGTTGGGCAATCGGAAGCCAGTGGAGGATTGGCAGAGAGGGGTTGGTGGATACAGAGCGGTTAGTAAGGTGGATGAGTCTGGCCGCAGCATTCAAGATAGACTGAAGCGGGGATAGCCTGCGGTGAGGTAAGCCGGTGAGGAGGGAGTAACAGTAGTCAAGTCGTGATATGAGGGAGTGAATGAATTGCTTAGTGGTTTCCGTGGTTAGGAACGTGCGTATTTTGGAGATGTTGTGGAGGTGAAGTCTACATGAGTTTGTCAGCGAATGGACCTGGGGCTGGAAGGACAGATGGGAGTCTAGGATAACACCTAAATATAGAATAATTCTTTAACGAGTAGGTATATCCTCAGGCCTGCTTGCTTCACTTGGACTGCCCTTTCCATTCATTTGCCCCAACTGTGCAGCTGCTGTTCAGATATTGAGAGCCACTGCCGTGCATGTTGAGAAGGGCTGGGTGGGGTGGGGGTGTCAGCAATAGAATGACTGTGGGATTCCAGGACACATGGCATTATAAGTGGCTCAAGGAGGAAATAGGGACACAAACTGGCCAAGCTATTACATATCTGCTTCCGTGCTTAGCATGGCAACAGAAAGAGAGCTTCTTTATGAACAGTACTGGCAAGATCACCTGGTATTTTCTGTGCCTTCCAGTTCTTGCATAAAGAAAAAGATGGATGTAAAATTAGAAGCCCCAAATTTATAAATTTATATAAACATACTCTTCTAGTTCTGGGTATGGTCATGAGGAGTTGGCAACCTTGTTAGGTTTCTATTGCTGTCTGGGTCCCCTTTGGGGAAGTTGATCCTCTCTTGTCCAGGTGACCATTGTCACTTTGACAGAAAGTGATAAGAAAATCAAAATTTTGAATGATCATCGGAACAGAGAGGTTTTCCATTGGGGACACTTACTGTGACAACTTTCTGAAAAGTTTTCTCTCACTCCCTCTTATGTGAATGGGACAAGAAAGTGATTGGAATCCTCCCCAATGGGTCACAGACTGTAAAAAAAAACAAAAAAAGTACAAAACCTGACGAGGTTTTAGTATTCCCTATGCCGCTATCTAAAATGTTTAAAGGAAAAACCCTATGCAGTTAACATTTCAGCCTTGAATGAGGTCTTTTCCCTTCCATTGTCCTGGCATGAATGTGTCCTCAGGTTTTTTTCATTCAGGTTTGGCTGAACTTCACACAAAGCATTAAAAACACAATTGAAATACATATGTAGGAGTTGTTTTACCTGTCCATCCAATCCTGCTGGCAGAGGGGGAGACCTTATTTTACCTTGCTGCAGCTCACTAACACTTTCCTGCGAATGAACAGTAAAAGGAGAAGCAGCGGACTGATGAGCTCATCTATGTCACTATGTTCATTGCTTCTGTCAGCATGTTCTTTGTTAGCATATGAGCACTGCAGCACAACTGATTGACTCCTTGTGCCACTTCTCCCTCTTTCAGTTTGAGCTCTGTTGTACAGGGATTGCAAGAGGCTAATACAAGGACAAAACTAGATACTAAAACTGCTTGCCTGGAGGTAAGCTTTAAGGGACTGATAGAAGTTTTACAGAGGAGGCCTTTTCAGTTTACATTATAAACTACATTGAAACAACTCTTTACTTATGTCTTACCTCGATCTAATCTGTGCACATTGTGATGTGTAACGCATGTGGTTTTTGTCCTTTTCAGTCCTCAGAGAGCAAGAGAAGAATTGGCCATGTTATGAATGCAATCGCCGGTTTATGAGCTCTGAACAACTGCAACAGCACCTAAATTCCCATGACGAGAAGCTAGACTTCTTCAGCAGGTGCACCCCCCTTTCCTCATGAATATATTTGTTTTATGCAGCCTGATACACTATATTGCCAAAAGTATTAGGATGCCTGTCTTTACACGCACATGAACTTTAATGGCATCCCAGTCTTAGTCTGTAGGGTTCAATATTGAATTGGCCCACCCTTTGCAGCCATAACAGCTTCAACTCTTCTGGGAAGGCTGTCCACAAGGTTTAGGAGGGTGTCTATGGGAATGTTTGACCATTCTTCCAGAAGCACATTTGTGAGGTCAGGCACTGATGTCGGACGAGAAGGCCTGGCTCGCAGTCTCCACTCTAATTCATCCCAAAGGTCTTCTGTCGGGTTAAGGTCAGGACTCTGTGCAGGCCAGTCAAGTTCTTCCACACTAAACTGGCTCCTCCATGTCTTTATGGACCTTGCTTTGTGCACTGGTGCGCTGTCATGTTAGAACAGAAAGGGGCTGTAGCAATCCTACCCACGGAGATGGACGCGGTTCAACCATTTTGCTCCAACCTCCATCTTGGCAAAGGATCATCCATCTTGTACAAATATACCTCTCCTCATCCCCCTCCCTCTCTGAGATCCACAGTGACATGTGGTTGGTGTGTGTGTTGGAAGTGACACAGGCAGGCCAGAGCACAGCAGGCAGCTCCGAGCTATAAAACCTCTCTGAGCTGGGTGCTGGGCGGTCTAAGAAACTGTGCAATCTGGCACCTAATAAAAGGATAACCCAAGCCTTCCCCTGAGTTCAAAGACATTCCAGAGAAGTAATAAACTAGATACCACACTTAAAATCCTTTTTCCCCATCTCATATCTTGGAATATGAAAGACTTACATAAAAACCAGGCATATCTTCAGATTGCTAACGATCAAACAAACCGTTTGATATGTCACACTCCTTGGCTGGAATATATAGGAAAGCAGAAAATTACATCTCTTGAACCATTCAAGTATGTATCTCATATTTCATATCTAACCGTTCCGCAGATGCGTCTGCATATTAATCTACCCGCGGGAATGTTACTTGTGCCTAGGAAAAGTTATGAGCCAAAATATAAGCTAGAGAAAGATTTTGGTTCTAGCTTGGGTCTCCGCCTAGACACCCCTCCCCGAATGAGACATTGGTCCTTGGCTTCAGAGACACCCCCTGCTGGGGGACACCAAAATAGGCTGTCAGGCCTAAGAGTGGACATTGAAGAAATCTCCCTTTTAACATCAGAACCAACTTGGAGACGGTGCCCTTTTGCTCTGAAACTTGATCTGCTTTACCCAGGACTTTTGGCAAGTACTCTACCTCTCTAAACTTCTTTCTGTTACCTTTTTGCTGTGTTATTGCTCTCTTTATTTTATATATATATATATTGGTTACATCTTTTTTTTGTAAATATTTTTATTGCACCCTTTTGACCTTTTAGTAATAAATCTTTCTTTCTGAAAGCGTTGAACTGTTTCTATAGCTCTTTAATGCAACTTACGAATTTCTGCCTCCGAAGAGCGCTACTATGTGTGTTTAACCCTCTGTATAACCTGTCTGCGGTGATAGTGGTATACAGACGATTATCCAATCATCCTAGTGTTATTGCTAAAGTTGCCGAGTTTCCTCTTTCTTTGTACAAAAAGGAGTTAGTAGCAGTGTGAAGGGGTAATTAACCTGACCCAGTAATAATCGCACTCAGGCTGCCGGTACATCGATTTGTGGTCCATTAGCTGGAAAATCGTTGTGCAGGGTGCAGCTGGGCGTGGCGTTGTTGCGCACGTGACATCGCGGTTTCAGATTAGCTAGTCCTTTGGTCACGAGTTTGGTGAGAAGGTCCGGGGTCTGACACCGCGATCGTCACAGGGGCCATCCCCAAACTGTTCCCACAAAGCTGGGAGCATGAAATTGTCCAAAATGTCACGCCTTAAGAGTTCCCTTCACTGGAACGAAGGGGCTAACCCAGGGGTGGGCAAACTTTTTGACTTGAGGGCCACAATGGGTTCATATATTGGACCCGGGGGCCGGACCAAGAGTAGATGAATGATGTGTATGTGTCATCCATAGTAAGTATAGTAATATTCCCCCATAGTAAGCATAGTAATTCATCTCCCATATAGTAATTCATCCCCCATATAGTAATTCATCCCCCATATAGTAATTCATCCCCCATCCCCCATATAGTAATTCATCCCCCCCATATAGTAATTCATCCCCCATATAGTAATTCATCCCCCATAGTAATTAATTCATCCCCCATAGTAATTCATCCCCCCTATAGTAATTAATTCCCCATATTCATCCCCCATATTAAGTCCCCAAGTCCCCCCTGTGTCAATTCACTTACCTTTGCTCCGTGTGTTCCTCTCGCCGTGTTCCCGCGCCGTTCCGGTGTAGCATGAAAATCTGTCTCCTATGAGGATCTGTCCCCCTCGACGTATCTGCGCATCTGCCAGTTTCAGGCATTAGCAGCCGATCGGCGATCTCTGGCACATGCGTAGATACGTCGAGGGGGACAGATCCTCATAGGAGACAGATTTTCATGCTACACCGGTCTTCAGGGCGGACTGTGAGAGGAGCCTAGCGGGAGCCTAGCTCGAGCCTAGCTCCGCGGGCCGGATTAAAAGGTCCGCCGGGCCGTATATGGCCCGTGGGCCGTAGTTTGCCCATTGCTGGGCTAACCCCTGAAAAACAACCCCACACCATAATCCCCCCTCCACCAAACTTTACACTTGGCACAAATTAGTCAGGCAAGTACCGTTCTGGCAATCACCAAACCCAGACACGTCCATTGGATTGCAAGACAGAGAAACGTGATCCATCATGCCAAAGAATACGTCTCCACTGCTCTAAAGTCCAGTGATGGCGTGCTTTACACCACTGCATCTGACGCTTTGCATTGCACTTGGTGATGTAAGGCTTGAATGCAGCTGCTCGGCTATGGAAACCCATTCCATGAAGCTCTCTATGCACTGTTGTTGTGCTAATCTGAAGGCCACACGAAGTTTGGAGGTCTTTAGCTATTGACTCTGCAGACAGTTGGGGAATTCTGTGCGCTTCAGCAGACCCCACTCTGTCATGTTACATGGCCTTCCACTTTGTTATAATACCACTAACAGTTGACCGTGAAATATTAATATAATATAATTCAAGGAAATTTCATGGATGGACTTATTGCACAGGTGGCAACCTATCACGGGACCACGACTGAATTCACTGAGCTCCTGAGAGCGACCTATTCTTTCACAAATGTTTGTAGAAGCAGTCTGCATGCCTAGGTGCTTGATTTTTATACACCTGTGGCCATGGAGGTGATTGGAACTGCAGAATCCAATGATGTGGAGGGGTGTCCCAATACTTTTGGCAATATAGTGTATATCCTGAGTTGTATGTGTAATGTGTATTCTATATACACCACATGTCTGTGCTGTGTTCTCTGTGCTTGTCTTGTACAAGTATATATCCTCCTATTTCTTGAATAGTCATATAGCGGTGTGTCTTGCAGAACAGCTCTATATCCATGTTCTGTACCATGTATTACTATGCTGCGCCAGTTACATGCTGATATCATCTATGTAGTAATTCACCAGTCATTTAATCTGATTTGACTTCTTTATAATGCTTTCTGTTTGATGTAATAAGCAAGAAGGAAACTGGGACAGGTGATTCTGCTAATTATTCAGTGATATCAACAACACACCGTATGCCTGGATTTTAGGCCTAATTAGTATTGGAGAGCTTAAAAGAAATGGCACCTATGTAACCAGATCATTATTGTTGCGGATTTATATATCACAATCACTTTGCACAGCATATTACAATATGGAGGGAGATTATACAGTTACAGTAAAATTCAAAATGAGAATTCAGAGGGCTTTGCTTCTGATAGCTTACAATCTAAAGGGGAGGGACAAATGATACAAAAATGTAATAACTGTGTGGGGATAGGTTGAGAATAAAGCAAATATTCAGCTTCTCAATTAAGGCTGGATAGATTTCTCTAAAGGAGGAGTTTTCAGGGATTGTGTGAAGGCAGACAAAGTAGGAGAGAGATGAACAGATTGAAGTAGGTGAGTTCCAGAGGATGGGAGAGGCTCTGGAGCAGTCTTGGAGGTGAGTATGGAAGGAAGTGATGAGGGAGCTAGAGGGGGCCAGAGGTCTCTGGAGGAGAGAAGAGGATGGTTTGAGTGATATTTTGAGAGGAGATTAGTGATGTAGCTTTGGACAGAATTTTTTGTGTTTTGAATGTATTCATTGGGCAAGCATAAGCCAGTGGAGGGATTGGCAGAGAGGGGTGGCAGACACTAAGCAGTTGTTAGGGTGGATGATAGTCTGCGTAGATGTAGGCCAACAAGGAGAGAGTTGCTTTAGTCAAGATGAGCGATAACAAGGAAGTGAATTAATATCTATGTAGTGTCATTGGTTAAGAAGGGGTGTATTTTGGAAATGTTATGGTGGTGAAGTTGGCAAGATTTGGAAAGTGATTGGATAACTTTATCATTTTGTTCAACGATAACAGGGCCAAAGGACGTGGTCGTGGAAGGACGAAGAGGAAATTCGGACCTGGGAGGAGACCAGGGAGACCTCCAAAATTTATGCGTTTGGATTTGTCTGGAGATAATCGAGAAAAGTGCAGTCTGGGGAATCAGGTCAGTGGTGTACCACATAAAACATCAGTTTAGTGTCTTGTACAGTTACTGTGGAAAAAAAGAAGTGCTGCAGTAATGCATGCAGTGTCTATCTACCCATGATCTTCTAGCCTTATGCTACTTCAGAAAACTGCTCAACTTTGGATGAGAATAGAGGCGTGCTCAGTATAAAAATGTGTCATACTTCTATGGAAAGTTTATTATAGAATTTAGTTCACAGGTGATAAAGCCAATGCTTTTCGGGGGAACCGCCTTCCCCTTCATCAGGGCTATGGCAGTGGGTGTGGTGAGAAACAGATTGGTAGCATTTCACCAGTTTCAGGTCTGACACTTTCAGTACTGTCAGGTTTGTTTCTGACCACGCCCATCATGACAGCCCTGATAAAATGCATTGGCTTTATCACGTGTGAACCAAATTCTTCAATATATTTCTTTAACATAACCATAAGAGCCCATTCACACCACGGTTCATAGTTATCATTTTTTCTGAACACCCGATACATCTTGTGCACCTTCACCACATGAAATGCGTTTTGATGCATTGAGTCACACCCATGTGACTTCCTCTGATAAAACTTCCTGGGGTTTTTCTTGAGGAAGTCATGTAGGTGGGATACAACTATATTTATACTTAACTATAGTGTACACTGGATGTATTTATCTGGTGGACAACTGTGGAAAGCTGGCCATTTGAGCTGTGAGCTCAAATTGACCGATTATTCTGTGTCAACTACCAAGGTGAAGATGCATTTCATGTGGTGAAGGTGCACGAGGTGGTTTGGATCCACGGGTGTTCACTGTGTCCCGGGAAGTTGGGAATATAGAATTTCTATTTAAGATTGAACTATGATTGAACTTTTTTCACGGTGAATAATTTTTTTGTGCACTGTTATATATTTATGAAATCGGAATTTATTTATTTATTGGGTATCTCATTATCGCATTTTATTATTACACTTTATATTATCTAGGGGGCTAGTGGGGCTGTTAGGTTTTTATTAGGTTTAAATATATTTTTTTTCATACACGTGCACGTGTTTAACACAATTGTGGAGGTTATTGTTTTGTGTTTGCATTGTGGCATTTTATTGATTGATGCACTGTCACTTTAAATATTTTTTATGATGTCACTATTTATGATCACTTCAAAATTGTTGGTTTTGGATTGATTCTTGATTATAGTGTATGTGTTAAATAGGGTAGCGCAACACTTTTTTATACATGCTATTTGATGTAAACTGATGTCTCTGTAAGTGAATTATGCACGTTAGTTTCCATCAGTTTTTTCTGCATGTATGGTGTGAACGAGGCCTTGGTGTGATCAGCTTTTATACTGAGTGCTGCTGTATACTTATTCAAGATTACCCTGCAGAGCAACTTTCCATTGCTTTCAAAAAGGCAGAACCCTGCGACCTAAATAAATCTCATTTATATCATGCTTACATCAGTAATGAATCCCTCTGAAGGAGGTCCATATCATCTCTATTGATACTAGACCATACACAGGTCCAGCACGGTCATACCCAGGGCCGTGGATAAGGGGGTACCACCAGTCCTCCTGTAGGGAGCCTAGGCCAGTCAGATGTACGCAGGGAGGTTGATTGGAACAGCGAAGGGATGATTGCTGGAACCGATCCCTTGTATGGGTCTTTCTGCAGCAGCTGAAAGCTGACTTCTTCTCCTCTCCCTCCCGCTGGCTTTCAGCTGCTGCAGAGAGAGCCATACAGGGGATTGGTTCCAGTAATTGCCCCACATCACCCTCCTTGTGCACCATATGCTTCCCACTGCTTCCCAGGCCCCCCTGTGTGCCCCCACAGTGCTGCTAGCTTCCCTCCTGTCCTTTCCACTGGCAGCTGCAGGCACTAGGAAAATAGGATCCTTTTGGATGGAGAGTGTAGGAATGTTCCAGTAAATATGTCCCATTTACCAGCCCCCTTCCTTTCCTGAATGAACACAGCGAGCGTACAGTACCGATCACTCGCATTCAATCATAACTGAGGTATAGTAGACTGTTTTTTTTTTTTGTTTTTTTTTTTGTGGTGGTGGGGGGGCTGTCAGGTTGGCTGTATGGGGCCCCGTGGTTTCTAAGATCAGCCCTGGTCATACCACACATTCCAGCTAACAACTTTTGTCTTTTGGCACTTTCAGGATCTCCTGCATTTCCAGAATAAGAGGTCACAGTTTGAAGAGACGGGTCACACTAATATAAATGGTCTGGATCAGTCCGAACTCTCACTGGGTACAGTGACACAAGATCCAACTGATCAGCAGCCAGACGCCCAGGTTCTGCAGGCCACTGTTCCACCTGTACAGCTCCCACCTGTCGTTTCCCATAGTGTCCTGACGCCTGAAGACATGCGACGAGCCAAGCGTATTCGGGTACAAGCAATGAATCCTCTCATACTTAGAGCTGTTCTTTTGCTAAATGTTTCATTCGGGTAAATGAGTAATATTTGAGTTGATGGCAGATAATGCAATAAGACCTGCCTTTTCAGGTTAGTTAGCCTTACTCTAAGCTAACTAACTTAAAGTGTTGCTAAACCCCGGACTCTGCATTCACTATATCTGGTCTCCCCGGACCCTGCATTCACTATATCTGGTCTCCCCGGACCCTGCATTCACTATATCTGGTCTCCCCCCCTGCATTCACTATATCTGGTCTCCCACAGAACATGGAAGTGCAATTATTTTAGTAAATATAAACTGCTAAATACCTTTTCTCAGCAGTTAGAGCAGTCTTGTGACTTATATCAGTGTCCAGCAGAGCACTGGTTAAAGCTTGTAGGAGTTTTCTTTCTGCTCCAGGAGGATGCAAACCCCCCTGACCTCTGTCTGGACAGTGCTGATTGGTCCTGTTCTGATCACATGCACTCTCCCAATAAAAAAATAAACCTATAGCAATGCACACTAAACTGAGCATGTGCAGCATGGCTACAGTTCAGTCTGTCTTATCAGGAGATAAGGCGTGGACATTTGATCAAGAGGAGGAGCAGAGAAGTCAGGATCAAATGGCCTTTTTACACAATACAGAGGATTATCCCCTTAGTTTCCACAGTGAGTATAACAAGCATGCTTTACTGCATGTACAGAATGATATTACTGTTGTGGGTTTAGTAACACTTTAATACTAAAAATATCACACTGCTAGAACCTGATTCATTCATTCCTTGCATTGCAAATGTGAGTGGTGACGCAGGAAAACACACAGTCAAGCTTCGGAAATTGTACAACTACTGACCTTCTGTGGAGATGCTGGGTATTCATAAAGTATTCAGAATTATTTAAAGCCCAACTCTGGTCAAAAATGAAAATGTAGCCATGTATTGACAATAATGTACTTGTTTTCTTTGTGCTTTTCGCAAAACTATATTTGGAAGACATAGAGCAATATTCTTTATCAAAGTCATTGTTTCTCTGCACTTTCAGCATTATTTCCTATTGTTATCTGCACTGGGGAGCAATCCCCTCATTACACCTGTGTAGTTTTCACCACTGTAGCCCTGATGGAAAACTGTTGGCGCGGCACATCTTGCGGGTGCGATTATTACAACTCCACTTTGTTAAACCTGCCTGTCGAGTTACCTGTTCTGCCTCTGCCCACGAGGCCAGCAAGGACCAGAAACATTGACCAGGAATCATGAGACATACGTATAGTCTCAGACAACAGGAGGGAATGACTTGAGGCAGCTGCACAGACATACAAGTATAGCTGTGAATTTGACAGATCTAAGATGAGGGCAAAGGTATACATGCTTCATTTTTGCAATTTACTAACTAAAGCATTAATAGAAGATGGGTGTATGGATGGGCAGGTGTAAAATACTGGATCAAAACGTAGTAATCCCAGAGTTGGGCTTTAAACTGTGTGTATTTTCTGACTTTATCACAGTTGTTGTGTACTGGATGGTGTTAGACTGTCAGGCCAGAGCTTGTGATTATTTGTATAAAAGTTATAGCCACTTGAGCCCTTTGATTTAAGTATGAGTTTCAGATGTCTATGTATTGAAATATAATAATCCTGTGCCCCTGATTTCTAGCAGCTTTACTGGTTACCATCACTTAATAGGAATTGTTCTGTTTGAGATGACAGTCTGCAGTTGTTAGTGCTGTCTTAAGGGTTTATTCTGTAAAGCTGTACAGTGCAGAATCTGGTGCAGCTGTGCATGGTAGCCAATCGGCTTCCAAGTTTAGCTTGTTCAGTTAAGCGCTGACAAAAAACCCCTCTGAAAGCTGATTGGTTTCTATGCAGAGCTGCACCAGATTTTGCACTCTCCAGTTTTTGTAAATCAATCCCGTAGATAATTACTATGTCAAAAGCATTTCTTTTCTTGTCCATAAAGGGACGCAGGAAGTCTTGTACTGTCAGGCTATAATGCCAGCTGAGAATTGGACACTGGCAAAAAAAAAAAATTTTAGGCCAGCCCAGAATAACCCCTGCTGCTCTCAGCATGCCTACATATTTTGCTGGTGTCCAAGGAGGATGAACGTCTTTTCTTCAGCTCTACTGAGAAAGGTTCAACCTTTTGCTAGCATTTAGATTGTAAGCTCCATGAGCAGGGCCCTCCTATTCCTTCACTGAAATGTATTGTAATTGTATATATTGTAAAGCGCTGCACAAACTGTTGCCGCTGTATAAATCCTGTATAATAATTTTTGTTTGCTGTTGCCCACCCCTTCAGTTTGACTACTTTTGGACATCCCAGCTGTACAAGACTTTTAGTATCCATCAGTGGGTGAAAAAGAAAACAGGATTTTTGTACTCTGCATAAAAATCCTTTTCTTGGAGTTGATTGAGGTGCACAGATTCCACTCCTCTACTTATATTCCTTCTCCTCCTACTGCTTTGCCCCAGATTAAGGTATGCTGGTAGGAGGGGTTATCCTGGGCTGCTGTGCATATATTTTATTTGCCAGTGTCCAGTCCTCCTGTAGGTGTTAGTATAACCCAACAGTAAAAGACTTCTGTATCCCTTAAGAGTCTAAGAAAAGTATTTTAGAGTGGCTATAAAAGCCTTGATTTTAGTTCTAATATGTAGAACTTTGAAACAAAAAATAGAAGCAGATGCAGTCATGAGTAAGCAGCTATTTTTGGGGGGTTATTGATTCTGAATTTTGTTTTATCTGGAGCCTCCCTTAAACTCTTGAGGATTGAAGTGATAGTATTTTGTCTGTTGACAGCTGACCTGTGTTTACCTTCATTGTCCAAAGCTGGTCTTTTTGTAAATGTAATGCAACTTTCTCTCCTCCTATGCTGGCCTCTCAGCTGGAGCTGCAGGTAGGTTGACTTTTACAAATTCCATAGAACGGAGGCAGCCATGACACTTTACACTGTGATATTTCACCCTAGAGGGAAAATATTTGCTGGGGCATTTCATTATAAGCACCTGTCTTGTAAAAAGTGGCCTAAACATTGACAGAGGGTAGTACCCACCCATCTAGCTCACATTGTTTCAGATTAGTAGTACTTAATTACTTTCAGCTGGACTTGTTCTATAATGCTTTGTAGTTTATCCAAGCCAAATCTTCCATTCGAATGAGTGTCTGTATACATACCCAGCATTTATATCCACACAGATAGCACAGACAACTTAATTCAGTCACCGTGGAAAGGCAGGTGCTGAAGTACAGACTGGGAGGTGTGGCAGTTGTGGAACTACCCTGTTCTAGCTACATAGTCCCATCCTTTGTTTCAGGTGGTCTGCATAGGTGTTATACCTTCTGAAGGTGTAAATTATTGTAAGAACTCTGGGGTAGAGATAGTAAAATTGTATTTTATGTGGAAGACAGTGTGTTGAACGTATCCACCCCTTTAATGGTTGTTACAGTTTAACCACGAAGGCCTCTTTCAAACCTGTGTGTGCATGCACCCCCCTGTCCTTGAAGGTACACTATATTGCCAAAAGTATTGAGACACCCTCCAAATCATTGGATTCGGGTGTTCCAATCACCTCCATGGCCACAGGTGTATAAAATAAAGCACCTAGGCATGCAGACTGTTTCTACAAACATTTGTGAAAGAATGGATCGCTCTCAGGAGCTCAGTGAATTCCAGTGTGGTACTGTGATAGTTTGCCACCTGTGCAATAAGTCCATCCGTGACATTTCCTTGCTGCTAAATATTCCACGGTCAACTGTTAGTGGTATTATAACAAAGTGGAAGCAACTGGGAACAACAGCAACTCAGCCACGAAGTGGTAGGCCACGTAAAATGACAGAGGGGGGTCAGCGCATGCTGAAGTGCACAGTGCGCATAAGTCGCCAACTGTCTGCAGAGTCAGTGGCTAAAGACCTCCAAACGTCATCTGGCTTTCAGATCAGCACAACAACCGTGTGTAGGGAGTTTCATGGAATGGGTTTCCATGGCCTGCATCCAAGCCTTACATCACCAAGTGCAATGCAAAGTGTCGGATGCAGTGGTGTAAAGCATGCCGCCACTGGACTCTAGAGCAGTGGAGAGGTGTTCTCTTGAGTGATCAATCATACGTCTCTGTCTGGCAATCCGGTGAACGTGTCTGGGTTTGGCAGTTGCCAGGAGAACGGTACTTGCCTGACTGCATTGTGGCAAGTGTAAAGTTTGGTGGAGGGGGGGATTATGGTGTGAGGGTGTTTTTCAGGGGTTGGGCTTGGCCCTTTAGTTCCAGTGAAGGAAACTCTTAAGGCGTCAACATACCAAGACATTTCCTGTTCCAACATGACTGCGCACGAGTGCACAAAGCAAGGCCCATAAAGACATGGATGAGTGAGTTTGGGGTGGAGGAACTTGACTGGTCTGCACAGAGTCCTGACCTCAACCCAATAGAACACCTTTGGGATGAATTAGAGTAGAGACTGAGAGCCAGGCCTTCTCATCCGACATCAGTGCCTGACCTCACAAATGCGCTTCTGGAAGAATGGTCAAACATTCCCATAGACACACTCCTAAACCTTGTGGATGGCCTTCCCAGAAGAGTTGAAGCTGTTATAGCTGCAAAGGGCGGGGCCAACTCAGTATTGAACCCTACGGACTAAGACTGGGATGCCATCAAAGTTCATGGGCGTGTAAAGGCAGGAGACCAATACTTTTGGCAATATAGTGTATGTCTCTTTTCTTTAAGGTGCAGGAAGACTGCTGACTCTTGACCTATAGAATTTGCCATCCTGTGTTGGGACATTTGTTGAGAAGTTGCTTTGTCTCCCCAATGTACTGTACATGCCTTTCCATTTCCCACTGCATTGACCTGCATAAGTCAATGTAGTGTTGCGTCTTTTGGATGTACAAGCTTCTGTGTCAGTTTATTGGTCGGCTACAAAGACATGTGAATGCAGTGTTTGTTAAACACCCTTCTGAATTTTTCTGATATGTTAGCTACATATGAGTTAACTATATTACTCCGTATGTTCTGCTGTTCCACTCTGTTTGGTGGTCCTATGTTTTTGCTTGACTTTGACTCATTCCATGGTTATTGAATTTATGTGAGTGTGCTAACTGTGCGGACACAAATGCTGGGGTATTGAATTGAAGAAGTAGCCTGGATAAGCAATGAATATTTAAAGGAGAGGTACAGCCAAAAGAGATTTGGATCACAGGAGTGCAGTTTGTTCTGCACTCATGTGGCCCATCTTCAGCTGACGGTGGGCTGAAGTTATTCAGTTAGTCCAGGCTGGGGAAAAATCCCAACTCCAGAGTCTGGAGCGGCACCTGGCTCAGCCTCTCAGCGATCTGCCCCAGTGAGTGCTGGGGGGGGGGGGGGGGGGGCAGAGCAATGACCATGACTGACAGCCACTGCTCTCTGCTCAGAGCGGCTGTGAGAACCTGGCGAGTTCCCACCCTTAGATCCAGCAGGGGACAGATACAGCATTAGACCGATGCTGCATCCACCTAGATAAGAATAATTGGGGAAAACAAATAAGTCCGTACTTCTCTTTTAAAGCAGTATTAAACTCCAAAACACAAATGTATTATATTGCAGCTTACCAATTCTTAGATGTTAGTTGCTGCATTATTCATTTATTATTATTATTTTTATTTTTTCTTCTGGCTAGTAAGTCTATTGCTTTTCATCTTTCTTAAATCAGAGGTCTGGAAATTTTTTTTAAAAAACTACTTGTCCAAGGGACTAAATTGGGGTCCCAATCTACTTGTCCCTCGCGACAATCTACTTGTCCTGATAAAAAAATTTTTTTATTTTAACTGAAATCATATTTAAATCTGAGGTGCTTTTAGGAATGTTTGGGGCTTTTAATCAGTTCACAACCACCCTATAGCATTATTATTGCTACAGGGCGGTCGCTCTGTGCAAAATCACGTGCACTTCCTTGTTGAAGGGGCACGTGCGCACTCTCGTGGCGCCGCTTCAGCTGTGACTAGTCACTGCAGAAGCCAATCAGCGTGTGCCAGCCAATTAATGACTGCCGGCACATGTTGATAGGCAAGGGAAGAGATAAAATCCAGCTCTGCCAATGTAAACAAGACAGGGGGTGTGTCATGTCAGCAGCGGTGTGCTGGATTTTGTTTCTCTGTAAAGCAGGGAATAAAATCCAGCACATTCCCTAGTAAAAGCACATGAAAGTAAACAAAATCACTGGTTAGGCACACAGTTAACCCTTTGATCACCCTAAATGTTTAACTTCTTCCCAGCCAGTATCATTAATACAGTGTTAGTGTATATTTTTAGCACTGATCACTGTATTCGTGTCACTGGTTCCCACAAAGTGTCAGTGTCCCATTGTCTGCAGCAATCTTGCAGTCCTCCTATAAGTCGATGATCATCGCCATTACTAGTATTAAAAAATAAATAAATAAATAAAAAAAACTTCAGTGTATATATACCATAGTTTGTAGACGCTATAACTATAAACGCTATAAACCAATCAATATTTGCTTAGTGGGAGTTTTTTTTTTCCAAAAATATATAGCAGAATATGTTTTGGCCTAAATTTATGAAGAAATTAGATTTTGAAATTTTTTTATTGGATATGTTTTATAGCAGAAAACAGTGGTTTTTTTTTTTTTTTTGGTTTTTTTTTTTTTTTTCAAAATTGTCTTTTTTTTTTTTTTTTTTTTTTGTTTTTTTTGTTTATAGCGCAAAAAAAAAAAAAAAATCCCAGTGGTGATGAAATACCACCAAAAGAAAGCTCTATTTGTGGGGGAAAAAAATTGCAAATTTAATTTATGTACAGTGTTGCATGATCGCGCAAATGTCAGTTAAAGTAAGTGCTGTATACCAAAAAATGACTTGGTCATAAAGGGGGGTAAATTTTCCGGAGGGCAAGAGGTTAAAAACAAAAGGGGCTTTACGTCGACTTAAATTATTGATGTTTTTAACATTGCGCTGTTTATCTCCTACTCACCTCCCTGTTTGTCTCTAGTACTGCACCTGGGAACTAGCAAGGAGGGGAGAGACCTTGCAGTGTAATGAGCACCGATTGGGTGCTTGTTAGGAAAGGGGAGTGTTGGACTCTTAACGCTCAACAGAAGTGCATCTGCTTAGCGCATGAATAAGGCGCCGGCCCCAATTAGAAAAACAAATTGGATTCCTTCAGGTTACCCTCACACCTGGACGTGCTAGTGCCTGCTGAGCAGCCAAATCAAGCTCTGGTATCTGCTCTGTTAGGCCCGTTCACACCTGGGTGTTTTGGGATTGCGGCAGAATTGCTGTAATTCTGTCCGCAATCTCAAAACGCACTACAATTGCAAAACGCAGGTTCAGGTGTCGTCATTTTCAGTGGCACCTAAAACATGGTGCAGTTTTGCCACAATTGTCGCAGCAATTCGTATCTCGGGAAGCTTGTCGCCTAAAAAGGAGTAGGAGCTTTTTTTTTTTGAGTGTAAAGCTTCACGCGATGCGATTTGTTGTGTGACAATTGTGGCAAGGCCTACCATGTTTTAGATGCCGTTGAAAAATTATGGCACCTGAACCTGCATTTTATAATCACAGGCAGAATCTCAACGATTCTACCACAATCCCAAAATTGCCAGGTGTGAATGGAACCGCCCTGGTTCGCACACGCGATTCTGGATGCATTTTCAAACTCACAGATTCGCATGAGAGGCTAGATGTTATGTGTTCTGATCCGCACGCATTTCGTTTTGAGTGCCATTACGAAAAAAATGGTCCTATGTGGGTTTTATAGCAGTGTGTGTCAGACTTGCAAATGACAGAGTAGAGTGGCATGCGAAGATAAGTGTTCAAATAGGATTGCTATTGACAAGAGTTTTTGCATTGAAGTCAATGGGAGACGATTTTGCATTGATGTCAGTGGGACGCCATTGACTTCAATGCAAAATCACAACCCAAGACTTCAATGAGGCTGCTTGGCCGTAGAAGGGCTAATGTAAAATAAACTCGAACCTGCCCAGCGCCTGGAACTGCACGTACTAGGTGTCGTGCGATATAAGTCATGCATCCCTGCTTTAATGTACCAAACTGTTTAGCAAAAGTGGAAGTTAGAGGGTTGAGAAAAAACATTTAACACTGACAGGTGTGCTTACAATGGTCAGTTTTTATTCATTTATGTAAAACCTTTCTATCAAAAGGAGAAAAACAAAACACTTCCTGTAACTGCTTAAATGTGTTAGGAAGAATTTGACTTTCCTTTGTTAGTCGAGTCCATCCAAATATGCAGTCTGCCTTCCCCCTAGACTGACAATGCTTTTGTACAAAGGGGCCTCTGTTGCTGCTCCATCCAGAGTGGAGACACTCTAAAACAGGTATTATGTTTTTAGCAGCATCACCTGGTGAAAATGAAGGAAAAAAAGGATTTACAAAAAAAAATGCAGCCACCACATTTAAGGACTGGTAAGCTGCAAATATTACATATTTGTTTTGGGGTTTAATACCTTGCCATTACAGAAGAAATCTAATTGAATGTGACAAAATAATACTAGCTAAACCATGATATGGGTAAATGAGAACTTGCACAGACATTGCTGCAGACTGAATTGTTTTCAAGGCTGCCCAGAACTGAATACTGAAAGAAGGGTTATGTTATGTTGTATGCACTGCTGCTACATCCCATTGGCAAGAACCCTTGTGTTCACTTGTCACCCTAAAACTGAAAGGGCTCACCACATATCAATTTACCTGTATGACAAATGTCCTGACTGCCATGGAACAAAGCACTGCATGGCTATCCTGTACACCCCCGCTGACCTAGAATATTTGGGGCCTTTGCAAATGAAAAACTCACAGTGAAGTGCATGGACACTGTGGCCAGATTTAAGGCAATTTGCGACCCATGGATCAGCCACTTTCTACTGACTAATTAGTCTGCTGACTAAGAGACTTATGAATTCTGCAGTTGCCCCATGCTGATGGGATACCGTTTTCCTTAAGAGCCCCAGAACACTGAACTTTCCCCACCCACCCTTCCCTAGCTCTCACTGCCTCAGTTATTCCCGAACCTGCTTGTACATTCTGCCCAACCTTTTCCCCTTTCTGTTTTCTCCTTTTTGGAAAACAAACATTTATTGTGATGATTTTCCAACGTATCCCATTATGGATATTATAATGCACCATAAGGATTGTCCCTGCCACATGTATACTACAAGTCTTCCATGCTTCTGTAAACTGTAAACCCTAAAACTATGTTAAGAAAAACTTTAAACAAGAACATGAACTGATGGATTATATTCTGTTTTGTAGAATGCCGCCCTGCAGCACCTTTTTTATACGCAAGTCCTTCCGGCCGTTCAAATGCTTGCAGTGTGGAAAGGCCTTCAGGGAGAAGGAGAAGCTGGACCAGCACTTGCGTTTCCATGGGCGAGACAGCAACTGTCCCCTGACCTGTGACATCTGTAACAAGGGCTTCATCAGCACCAGCTCCCTGGAGAACCACATGAAGTTCCACCTGGACCAGAAGACCTATTCTTGTATCTTTTGCCCGGAGTCGTTTGACCGATTGGATCTCCTGAAAGACCATGTTGCTGTGCACGTTGTCGATGGCTGCTTCAGCTGCCCTACCTGCAAAAAACGCTTTACAGATTTTATTCAGGTTAGATGGTTTAGGTTTGTTAGTTTTTCTTAAAGCTGAACTCCCAGAGGGTATAGAAGACAAAAATTAATGCAGCTCTGTAAAACACCAGATCACACCAATGGTTGCTTGTTTCCAGCATCGGTTGGTGTGACTTAGCATTCCATTTAAGGGGGGATTTACTGGTTGTATGCCTTGATAAAGTCACTTATATATCTTGACCTTAATATTCTGTAAACACACTTTTCTGTAGCTTTGGTTTTTTTTTTTTCATGACCCAGGCCATGGCCCCCCCTCTATACTAAAGAGCTGCCTACTGATAAGCCTCCACATCTGACAGATATCTGTTTGGGATGTCAGAACTTTAGCTCTGAAAAAAATAATCAATATATAATAATTTATGAAAAGAGGCAGGGATCTGGAATTAATTAAATTTCCTACTATTTTTCACAAATCATCTGATAACCCAAGTTTTTTTATTTGCGCTAAGTTGAAGACTACATAAAAACCAATAATGTGCAAAAAAAAAATATATATATATATATATATATATATATATATATATATATATATATATATATAAATAATTAAAATCAGTGCAAAATGGTAATTAAAAATATAATTGGTGATGATAAATAATAATCAAATCAAAATAGCAGTTCAATTATCTAATCAAAATAATGGTTACAAATTCAAACCAGCAAATATTATCCAATTTTAATGAAATAGGATCAGCTGTCTAAAAATAACAGCATAGGAAACTATCGGTAACTCAGCAGAATGACAAAGGATTTGCAAATTGACAACATGATCTCTCTACAACCAAATATTCAAAGCTCAAAGTTTACATTGGCATGATTTAGAATACGATACACAGAACAATCCAATAAGATTAGAATCTATCCAAGGCAAATAACAAATGTTCACTAAGTTGTCTACTTTGTCATAGATACCCAACTAAAACATTGATTAGAAGCTGAAATCCGCTTTGGGGGATTTTTCCAAATAGAATTCTCCCCCCAGAGAACTGAAATGAAGATAATTTATACTGCAGTTAAAATGATTTCAAATCAACTCCAGTGCTAACCATAATCGTTATCAGACTAAACGGTTTGGCTGGAGATATAAGGCGAGCACAAATTGCCTACAGAAAAATGAATGTTATACATTACCAATATAGAGAGAGAGGGCGAGAAAGAGAGAGAGAGACTTTACCCATCTGTTCTCTGTCTGTCCATCCTCTAACGTTTATCATCCTCAAAAAACCTAGGCAGGCAAAGCTTATCTCATCTAATTAGGACGTCACTCTAGGTGTCATTTCTTTACTAAATGATCCTAGTTACCTGAAGGGAACAGTATAGGATTAGGAATAATTTTGGATTTTTCCTACAAACTCCTGTACCACGTCAAGAGTTGACCTCTTACATTCAGCTTGATAAAAAAGCTATAAACTTAAGAAGTGGTCGCTCTTTTGACAGAACTGGTTAGGCAAACTGGGACCAGTGTCACTCAAAATAATGTATTACCGAAGTGATTATGAAAATGTTTCTATCTATACATCTTACAGACATTTGCTGAGGTCATTTGTACTGGGATTTCTTAATTATCTAAATTCTTCCATTACATACAGATGTTGTAATAAAAAACTCAAAATAATTATTTATAATGTTGAAAACATAATATCCACACTATATACTAATATGTATTCATAATATATATCAATATGTATTGATTGCTAAAACCAATTAATATACAAAATATATATATACATGAAGATTGAATATAGTAATATAAAACCCAAATGACTTAATTAGGCAAGTGTTCACCTCATGCAATATTAATAGAATTGACATTTTTTTATTAAAGTAATCTGATCAAATAATAACACAATATGCAATGTAAAATATAATATGAACTCTTCCAAGTGTTCATGGAAAAAAGAATCATCGTGAACAGTTCTTTGTCCTTTGTTCAGTTGAGAAACGGACCCCTCAGTTAATCTTACAAATTGGTACCATGGTCCATTCTTTATCTCGTGGCTGTCTAGTACCCCCCTCCCCCAAATTTACAACCTGGGAAAGTATTCTGTAAGAAACTGAGAATGTCTGATGTTAAAGTCTTTGTTCAGAAATCGTGAAAATAGAATATAAAGAACAAAATGTCTTTCAGCATGCCCATGTTACATTATGTAGAGATGATTAGTTCAGGCTTTCCAGTCTAATTCTGTGAGCACCGAATAGTTCCGACAGGGATACAACCTGTTCCTGACAATTTACAGCACCACCAGCCCCTTTTTTCCTATCCAGATGTAACCATATTAGTCAGAGCTCAGGGTATTTATCTGTTCCTAGCCTTCATGCTGCACTTTCCTATATCATCCAGGTGAAAAAAACATGTTCGAAGTTTCCACTCAGAAAAGATTTACCAGTGTACAGAGTGTGATAAAGCTTTCTGCCGGCCAGACAAACTTCGTCTACACATGCTCAGACACTCTGATCGCAAAGACTTCCTTTGCTCTACATGTGGAAAGCAGTTCAAGGTAAGACCAGGTCTGTGTGTGTAGTGGGTGACCAATCCCGTTCCTGAGCTGAGAGCCTCAGAAATTTTAGATCACTGTTAGAGAGCACAAGAAGTGATTTATAACAGAGAATTGCTGGCTCCTGGTGACTGCGTGAATTGTATACACTTCTGAGTACACTTAGTGGAGCTGCTTATCTGTATGCTCATCTAGCTTTGTGCCATTAGTGCATTTCTTTTAGGTCCGCACACAGCACATACAAATCGGAACAAAAGGCAGGGATCCCATACCTGAATAATGGACAGGAAAGTGGATAGGGGTATTTAGCTGAGTATACAGTACCTGGATGATAGACCAGGATAGCAGATGAGGATAAAAGGGGAGGATATCAGATCTAGATAATGGAAAGGTATAGTAGATATGGGTAATAGGTGGAGGATATTGTACCTGGATAATGGATCAGGATAGTAGATTGAGGGTAATAGGTGAGACCACGGTACCTGGATAATGGATAGGGATAGCGGATGGGGTAATAGGTGAGACTCCAGTACCTGGAAAGTGGATGCAGGTAGTAGATGGGGTAATATGTGAGGGTCCTGTAGCTGGATAATGGATCAGGATGGAAGATGGGGGGGTATAAGGTGAGGATACAGTACCCGGATAATAAATTAGGATAGTAGATGAAGGGTAATATATGAGGAATATGGTACCTGGGTAATAAATCAGGGTAATCGGTGAAAGGATATAATACTTGGAAAGGGGATTGGTATAATTGATAGGGGTACTAGATGAGGACATTGTACCTTGATAATGGATCAGGATAGTAGATGGGGGGTAATAGGTGAGGGTATCCTAGCTGGATAATAGATTTGAATAGTAGATGGGGGTAATAGGTGAGATGATATCATACCTAGATAATGGGTTGGGATAGAAGATGGGAAGTAAAGGGTGAGGATATCATACCTGCATAATAGCCAGCTTATTCCTATGTACTGAGGTTATTCCTATGTACTGAGGTTAGTGGATGTAGAGTTGAAAAGCCCTCAGGTGCTGGGATCTCCAGGTAGATTCCAGTAGTTGCCTAAAAATTCGGTCAGAAAACATGCTTCCAAATATCTAGCAGTTAGTGAAGGATAAAATCCACAGAAAATAAAAATTGTTTTTATGAACCTGTTCTCCCAATTTCCTAACTTCTGTTTTTCATTTTTTGGCTTTAAATGAAATAGGTGAAAAAATAACTTTGATGTCCAGTGCGTAGGGCCAAGTGTAGTGGGAAACATGGCTGTTCAGGTAATACACAGATTTTGTTCTTCCAGAGAAAGGACAAGCTGAGGGAACACATGCAGCGAATGCACAATCCAGAGAGAGAGGCCAAGAAGGCGGATCGCACTGGGCGCACCAAGGCCTTCAAACCACGTCTTGCTTCCACAGACTACGAAAGCTTCATGTTCAAGTGCCGCATGTGTATGATGGGATTCCGGAGGAGAGGCATGCTGGTAAATAAGATAACCTCACTGCCATCATGTTGCTTAACTTTGATATGGACAGTGTTCTGAGTTGTCGCTGTTTTTGCTGCAGGTCAATCACTTGTCAAAGCGACACCCGGAAATGAAGATTGAGGAAGTCCCAGAGCTGACGCTACCCATTATCAAACCCAACCGAGACTATTACTGCCAGTACTGTGAGAAGGTGAGTGGGCACTGCCAAAGTGTGCCACCAATAATCCTATATTAGAAGACAGATCATTGAGATTATTTCCTGTTGGCAGGTATATAAAAGCGCCAGCAAAAGGAAAGCGCATATCCTGAAGAACCACCCAGGAGCAGAACTCCCTCCCAGTATACGGAAACTAAGACCGGCTGGGCCTGGAGAGCCAGATCCAATGCTTAGTACTCACACCCAACTCACAGGAACGATAGCCACACCACCAGTTTGTTGCCCGCACTGTGCCAAGCAATATAGCAGTAAGGTGAGTGAAGTTTGTTCCTCGCAGATCCAGTTTATACCCTTTGCTCTTCAGTGACTGCTGGTTTTTACTGTTCAGATGGACTGTGAAAAACAACTGTGACTGGTACGGTTTGTGAGTTATGGCATACATATATCAATGAAAGCCATTAAACATTTTATTGCATTGAAATGTGGATCCCTTCCACCTCTACAAGCCATCATGATAAAACAGTTCTGTTTTTCCATTGTGTTCAACATTAAAACAGGAAAGTCTGCGCTGTTTCCAAAATACATGTATAGTTGCTCATATTAGAAGAGACCATATGCTAGTTTAACAATACAATGATAAAATGTAGCTTATGTATAGAATGTTTTAAAAAAAAAAAAAAAAGAAGTCCAAAACTTTAAACACATGCAAGCAAAAATGTAAGTTCCACTATGGTGCTGTAATTTCATGTAGCTGTATCCAGTAGGCTCTAATGCTGTGACAACCAACTCATATCTAAGCTAAGCAGATCCTCTGACCCCGTAAGAAATAAGAGGTCAGAGTATGCTTCGCTCATACATTCCCAGGCTGAATCATGCACCCAATACCCATTATAGGTATGGATGTATCCCTTTCCTGGAATTACCACACTTCATATGTTAGGTCATACATCACTGATCTTGCGCATGAAGCATGTTGGCTCCAGGAAAAGGATACATTCATACCTGTAATGGGTTCTGGATGGATGCACAAGATTCTGCCTGAGCTTGGATGAGCTAAGCACCTTCTGACCACCTATTTCTTTTGGGGTCAGAGGATCTGCTGAGCGTTCTGTTCAGCCATAAGGTGGTGGCCACAGCATTAGTGCCAACTGGGTACAGCTATGATATTGCGGCTTCATGGTGGAAGTTCCGTTGTTTCACTCAGTTGCTAGTTTTGGACATTTTTTTTTTTTTAAACATATTATTACAGCATTGACCGGTCTGAGGGTGTAGTGTGGCTTATTTGCTGCTAAAGAAAGTCAGCAATGGTAATTTTCACAATTTAAAAACCTCACCTCCAACCAACATTTCTTGTTTACTTACATTTGTCCACTAAATAGCAGTGCTATATGTGAATGTTATGTAATGTGCTGCGTGAGTTATAAGCATTCCAGCAAAATAACTCAATAAAGTATGTTTTCTTTTATCAAATCGCATTCAACAATGGGACAGACCACAAATAAAATTGTCATGTTGTGTCATTTACCTACTTTGTGCTCTAAAATCACTGTCCTTCCAAATCTCCATACCACATTTATACTGCCTTTAGCACAGTTACCAACTGCTTCTAAAAAATCTCCGCTCTCTTGGCTTCCAAGGCTTTGCTCTTTCCTGTCTCTCCTCTTACCTATCTAAGCACTCCTTCAGTATGACCTGCAACTCAACCTCCTCCTCTCGTTTACCCTTTATGGAAGGGGTCTTCAAGGCTCTGTCCTTTTATTCTTTATCTACACTCCAATTCCAATACTACCTCTTTGTTGTTGATATGTAAATCTCTCTTCTCCTCAGCAGTCTCCTTGTGCATCACTAATTTACTAATGGACATATCAGTATGGATGTCACACCATTTTCTAAAACTCAGTCTTTCTAAAACTGAGCTCATAATATATCCTCCCACCCCCTGACTTTTTTCCATCAAGATTAGTAGCACAACTATGCTTTCCTCCCCTCATATCGGGCTACTGGGTGTAATCCTGAACTTTGACCACTCCTTTCAGCCGCACATCCAGTCACTTTCCAAACCGTATGGCCTTAACTTAGAACATTTCCAAAATATGCCCCTTCTAACCCGGTACACCACCAAGCTACTAATTCACTTGTTATCTCTAGTTATCACTACAGCAACTACCTCTTCATTGGCCCACCTATGCACAGGCTATCCCCTTTTCAAGTCTATTATGAATGCTGCTGCCAGACTCAGCCACCTTACCACCTTACCAACCACTCAGTATCTGCCGCCCCTCTCTGCCATGTTCTCCACTGACTTCCAGTCGCCCAACAAATACAATTCAAAATATCAATAACAACTTACAAAGCCATCCAAAATTCCCAGTATAGTCATCTTAAAATATCAACCAAACTGTTCTCTTCACTTCTGCACTCTTTCTAAGACTTCCTGCTCTCTAGCTCCCTCGTCACTCCCTCCCATACCCACCTCCAGGATATCTACACAGCCTCTCCTATCCTCTGGAACTCCCTATTCTAAACACAGGATATCTCCTACACTATTTGCTTTTAGGTGACCCCCAAAACCTCATCTTACCAGGGAAGCCTATTTTGCCTCTACATAACAACTGCATTTTACTTTTTTTTAAAAAACAAACATGTCTACACTTACCTGCTGCTTGCAATGGAAACAGAGCAGCCCCAAACCTCCTCTTCACGGGTCCCCCGCCAATGCTCCTGGCTCCTCTTTTCTAGTGAGTGCCCCCAGTAGGAAACCACTTCCCATGAGGGTACTCGCGTGGGCTCGCTCTCGCTCAAGCCTGAGTCTATTGACACAGATTACAGGACTCAGCCCCACCCCCTGCTCACTTGTTACTGGCTTTGATTGACAGCAGTGGGAGCCAGTGGCTCCCAGTGCCTCAGCAAAACCTGTGAGACCCGGAAGTGAGGGGAGAGAAGCACTGCAGACATTCACAGCGCTGGATGGAATGAGGGCTCAGGTAAGTATAAGGGAGGATGAGGGGCTTATACCAATGCCTAAACATTTTTTTCTTTAATGCAAGAAATGCATTAAGGCAAAAACTGTTTAGGCTTTGGAACCACTTTAAAGGAGAAGTACAGTTTTTTGGCTGTGCTTTTCCTGTGGATCACAGGAGTGCAGTTCGTTCTGCAGTTCGTTCTGCGCTCCTGTGACCCGTTTTAAGCTGACAGAGGGCTAAAGGGGGGTGCAGAGCAGACAGCAGGGACTGACTGTCATCGCTTTCTGATAAGAGCGGCTGTGAGAACTCGGCCATCAGCAGTCCTGTAATCACTGAGTTCTCACATTTAGAGCCGGCAGGGGGGCAGATGCAGTATTGGACCGATGCTGCATCCACCTAGGTAAGTATAATTTGGGGGGGGCGCCGCCCATACGTCTCTTTGAATTTCTGATGTTGCCATTTTCTATGGATTTTAAGCTCTCAAAAGCTTGGCCCTCCTAACCACACTTGTCTTGAATTGTATCGTAACTGTACTGTGTCTCTCTTTATTTTGTAAAGCATTTTGCAAATTGTTGGTGCCCCTGCCTTGTCGGGGGGAGGAAATTCACTAATAGCTCTTAATTTTTCTGTAGACGAAGATGGTTCAACACATACGCAAGAAACATCCAGAATTTGCTCTTTTACCCATCACAACACAGACAGCAATGATTAGTACAACTCCCACTGTTCTTGCGGCTGACGGCACGAGTGGTGAAACTGTAGTGGTGAGTGTTTGACATCCAATGACATTCTGAGGGCTAGAAATTCACCTAAAACTTCTTCAATGTGAAACATTTTCCTCTGTTTTTGTATCATTTTACAACATGCATTCTCTGAATAATAGGTGTGCTTTAGAGTCATATTCTCTGGGTGTGGCTTATTCTGATCTGATTATTGTCCCCCATAGACCACAGATCTCCTAACGCAGGCCATGACCGAACTATCTCAGACTCTGACCACAGAATACCGCACTGCACAGGGAGATTTCCAGCGGATCCAGTACATCCCAGTGTCACAGGGAACGGCCGGCATGCAGCAATCACAACATATACAGCTGCAGGTGGTGCAGGTTGCTCAGGTAACCCCCATATACAGTGCATGCATATAATATATAATCTCAGTTCAGTGGGACTGTTAATCTATCCATGCTTAACTCCAGCCAAAATATTATTTTTTTGATAAAAGAATGATTTCTATTGGCATACTTTGGCAAGAGTGAGTTTTAAACATGTATATTCTGGTATTTGTGTCGGGGAACTGTACTGGTATTCAGATCAGAAATGATGATAAATTGCAGATGACATGACATGTTTTGTGTCTTCAGGCTCCATCTCCTCACCAGACACAGCACTCTACTGTGGATATGGGGCAGCTACATGAAACCCAGGCCTACACTCAACACGCCATCCAAGTGCAGCATATCCAGGTAGCAGAGCCAGCCCCGGGCACCCAGGCGCCTTCTCAGGTATCTGCCTCTTGACTTGTTTATCTGCGCAATGCACATGTGTGAGAAATTAAGAATGTTCACATTTTTTTCCCTGGATTCTGTGCAGGTAGGGGGCCAGTCTCTCAGCCCTTCGTCACAGGAAACTGATCAGAATGTCAACCCCTCACAGATGCAGACCTCGACCTCTCAGACACAGACAAACTCCTCCACAGTTCAGCACACCTACCTGTCTAGCGGCTGGAACTCTTTTCGCTATCGTAAGTCTACATGGAGCAGGGCTCTAGATGGAATTTAAGAAAATATAGTAAGCTAGTGGAGTGTTTGAGGGGGGAAAAAAACTTCTTTAATATGCTGTTACAAAGCGCGCGGAAGCCAACAGCAGTCAGATTTCTCTTTGTATCAGAAATAAATAAAACTGTCTACATTTCAAATGCAGTATCATGCAAAGTGTGGTGACCTGATTTTGTCATCCCCCTATTCCAGCAATTGACTCTGCACCTTTCCCAGAAGTCTGCACAGGGTTGTGGATCAGATAGCAGTCATAAGGAATGCTGCATTTCTGGTAGGATGCTTGAACCTGGTGCTGCACTCTAAAGCTCTGATTGAAAACAATTCTACAAGTGCATTTTGGGAACCTACTTCATCATTTACAAAACAGGAAAGGACCGCCAATAACGTTCACTTAACCACCTCCTGACCAACCATTGTAGTTGATTGGCAGGTGGAGCAGCTGTTATATATACAGCATAAATATATAGCATTTATATATGTCCCTGTTTTTACGGTGCGTGTAGATACACAGTGCCTGTGATTGTGCTGTCATTACACAGAGCACATCACAAGCAAAAATCAAAGAGCTAATTAGTGTGGCTTTGTGATCACTGTGATACAATCACAGCTATCACAAGTATAAACACCGCTAGTCTTTCCGTCTTTCTCACATTCACAAATGAATGTTTTCTATTCTTCTAATGCAAGTAATATGAGCATTATGATCATTATGAGCACCGCTAGTCATATCACGTATGTTGACTTTTATATCTTGATTATAAAAGACATTGATGTGATAAGTATTCTAAAATGACTGCAGAGATCTATAATTTATGCTGGAATATTTGTAGAAGTAATGATTGCTACTTCCCACACATAAAAAAGGTTTTATTATGAAAACATTTATGGGGGTTGTGAAAAAGGCCACATGAAGGTTACAGAATTGTGGGTATTGTTACAGTAAGATTTGTTAAGACTGACACGCACACACACGCACACACACACACACACACACACACACACACACACACGCACATGCACACCCTCTATGAAGAAAGACTGTTTTAACAGAAAGTGGGGGAAGCAGTTTTTCTTTATGGAACATCACAGGGCATCTTCTTTATCATTACATATTCATTATGATAGGGTTATTCTGCTGCCTACAGGTGACTGAACACTTGCCAAAAGACAGGAAATCCCATAATTCCTCTCATCTAGACAAGGCTTCAGTATTTTGCTTGAATCGTAGGTAATCTCTACACAAAAATCGCTAGCTTCTCAACGCTTTCATCTGGGATTATGAGACTGTTTCTCTTGGCTTTTCTATGGGCAATGCAAAGTGGTACCCTGAGCAATGGTATATTGCCTTCCAGACTGGTGGAGTGCTATACAGGTCCAGGGTAGTGATCCTCACCCCCCCCGTAGGTGACACCACAAAGTGGGGCGTAGCACCCTGGTGGCTGCCACCTTGGATCTACATCTGAAATGGCAGAGCGTCCTTTAGTGGGAATATGTCACAGCAGCCTGATTGACTTTGTGGGACTTCAGGTCACAAGTATGAAAACACCACACAATGTTTTTTTCCATGTGGGGGCGGTGGGACACTGGCAGAATTAGAAGAGTCCTATCTCTTAGGGTAACTAGTGCACTGGTGTTTAGGGGTACAGTGCCTTTTCAGCTGACTAGGACTGCTGTTTCCAGCAAGGATTTTTATACATTTTTCAACAGGCCATGTCTCATTGATGGCTTAGACAAGGGGGATGTATGGGGTGAAGGATCCCATATACCCTCCTCGGGTAAAAGGAACCTGGGCGCAGCCTTCATGCAATTTATCCCCTGGGGGATCCGTGTGTTCCCTGTGACTCCCTCCACCTATCTGGTATTTCTGCTGCTTCTGGGGCACCTTCTTCCAGTTCCTGTGTGTCAAGTGGGAAATTTTAATCTGTTATCACTGGTCTACAGATGGTGTACTTGTCATTTGGATTTTGAAGCGGAAGCATTACCCCTCTTCTCCTCTCTCCCTTTTAATGGAAGAGGAGCCAGTGGAGGAAGAGGTAGAGAAAGATGAGAATGTTTCACTTGAAGGAGACTTGAAGAAGAATCTTCACCTGAGTAATCTACTCCTGAAGAACTCCAGGGTCATACTTTAATCTCAGACCCAAATGGCCTTTGTGAGTCATCTTGTGGAAGTGGTTCAAACGAATATATAAAGCTCCTGAGTACTCTACCCCAAAGGTCACAGGTAATGGATCATGGTGTCCGCCACAACAGCTTCAATGTTTTCCTGTACATCCTCATTCAAAGGATGTTTTGTACGTGGACTGGGCTCACCATGACAAGGTGTTTGTTCCAAAAGGGAGGAAGTGTGAGGGTATTTGCTGGCATACAAAGAAATTCAATGGCGGAAGATTGTGGAAAGGTGATTCCACAACATAGTGGCTACAATCTAGAAATTCAGAGCCTTCCCCTTACTCGATTTTATGCTTTCAAATGTTCCTTTTAATCAACAACAAAAATGTGCTATTTTGCCAGCTCTTAACCTTCTTGTATCTCAAGGAATGATCATTCCAGTTCTGGAGAGTAAAAAAGCAAAAAAACAGAGCAAATCAACACCCTGATTCAAACAATACCTTAAATACAGTGTAAAAATCAATAAAAATATGAATTATTCAAATAAATTCATAAAAGTGACCTACCAAAAAAAAACATTTTAAATAAATATATCATTCATATTATAGTGTCCAAATTAAAATAGAAGAAAAATCTTTCCTCCCCATTACGTAGTGAAAAACAAATATCCAAACGAAATAATGCTTCCTCCAATCACCAGTGAAACACCAACATCAACCGTACTCACCAGATGATGGTGAGTAATGCGCCTTTTAGGATGTTATGGGCTCCTAGACCCCCTTTATACGCTTTCAGGGCTCCTTCCCACCACATATGATATAGGGTATTTTCTTCCACTCGCTCCTGCCTTCTCCTCTCACCAAACTCCACAGCAGTGCAAAGGAAAGAAGTATATAATAGTGTAATACTGCTAATACACAGTGCAATATTTGGTAAAAATTTCCAGACCACTCACATTTGTTAAGATGAGTAAAAGCATCTATTTTATTGCCTCCATGGGATTAAATGAGTTCCACTGATTCCACATCTCATACCAGAGACCTCACAGCCTGGTTGTAGCAAGGGATGACAGGATACAGCTCCAAAGATGGCCGCTTGGAACGCACTGCTTGGCGTGCGTTCCACTCACCGGAAGTGACACGGGACGTCGACGCGTTTCGCCCCACCCACAGGGCGTTCTCAAGACCTTGAGAACGCCCTGTGGGTGGGGCGAAACGCTCAACGCACTTCCGGTCTGCCGTCCTGACGTCCCGCATCACTTCAATGGAACGCACGCCGAACGGTGCGTTCCAAGCGGCCATCTTTGGAGCTGTATCCTGTCATCCCTTGCTACAACCAGGCTGTGAGGTCTCTGGTATGAGATGTGGAATCAGTGGAACTCATTTAATCCCATGGAGGCAATAAAATAGATGCTTTTACTCATCCTAACAAATGTGAGTGGTCTGGAAATTTTTACCAAATATTGCACTGTGTATTAGCAGTATTACACTATTATATACTTCTTTCCTTTGCACTGCTGTGGAGTTTGGTGAGAGGAGAAGGCAGGAGCGAGTGGAAGAAAATACCCTATATCATATGTGGTGGGAAGGAGCCCTGAAAGCGTATAAAGGGGGTCTAGGAGCCCATAACATCCTAAAAGGCGCATTACTCACCATCTGGTTAGTGCAGTTGATGTTGGTGTTTCACTGGTGATTGGTGGAAGCATTATTTTGTTTGGATATTTTGTTTTTCACTACCTAATGGGGAGAAAGGATTTTTCTTCTATTTTAATTTGGACACTATAATATGAATGATCTATTTATTTTAAAAAAATGTTTTATAGGTCACTTTCATGAATTAATTTGAATAATTCATATTTTTTGATTTTTACACTGTATTTAAGGTATTGTTTGAATCAGGGTGTTGATTTGCTCTGTTTTTTTTTGCTTTTTTATGTTTTGTTGTTTATTACCTGTGCGCAGCAGCAATTGACTACTGGGCTGTAAATCTTTGTGGTTATTCCTGTGCGCTGGGGTTTGCTGTATATTTATCAGTTCTGGAGAGGGTTGGCCTCTTTCCAGAAGGAAGATTTCTTGGCATCAGTGGATATCAAGGATTCTTATCTGTAGGTTCCAGTCTTGCCAAATAGCCAAAGGGGAAAAACACAACATCACAGCAAAATCATGTGAAAGCATAAACATGTAGGGGAGCATACTAAAAAAGGGGAAAGTATAGTTAAACAGAGGAAAGTAAAAAGCTCTGTATATCCGCAACAAGGTGGATTCAGAGTGTGTGCAGGCATAGGTACTTATCTTGTGACAGATAAGGCAATCGCCTGACATCATGATATCATGACGAGCTCGCTGGTGAAGCAGTAGGGTTCCTTCTGCCCAGATTCTGTGTGCCGAAGGAGCAGGAGAGTTGTTGGGGGGCATCTTCAGCAACTGGACCTCTGGTTGTAAAAATACATGGAATCCCCCCTGTTGACTTGTGTCCCAAGATCCAAAGTAGCACAGAAATGTGGCAGGTCTTCATGGACTCTCATATGAGCCGTTCGGCCCATTGCAAATGCCGCTAGGCAGAAAAGGAACTTCCAATTTGTAGGGAATTTGTCTGGAGTGGAACAGATGCAATAGAGGCATTAGTGCTGCAGGGTGATTGTGGACAAGTCTTGGAAGATCTTGATCTCGGCCCCATTGCAGAGAATGTGGTGGCGGTGTCTGGTCTTCTGGATGATGTCATCCTTTAGGTTGTAACAATGCAACAGATAACATCCCATAGTGGGTCCGAGTCTCATCTCTTGGGGCATATAGCTCTATGAAGGTGCTCCATATTGATGGGCGACTCTGGGGGTCTTTGAAAATGGCTAGCACAGAGTGAGAAAGATTGCCCAACTTGATCTCTTCAGGGAGAACCTTAACCGTGAGGTTGTGCCTATGTGTGCCCCCTATTATCAGTCCTCAAGGTGCCTGTGCAGGTCTCAGAGATGAAAGCAGTGCAATTCAGTTACCTTCTGGATCTGATAGATGGCGGTGGTGTGATGGTTAGTGGTTGTTTTGACTACTTCTAGCCTTGTGGCCATGGCTTGTATATTATGGCGAAGGTCTGCAATGGCAACCGAGGGAGTATCCTTAATATCAGGAAATAGCCTGCATGTCCCCCAGACAGAGTTTGGTCAGTGTAGCTACCGGAGTGGGAAAGCTGTGCTAGACCTGCATGCGCCAGGCTTCTGCCAGGAGAGTGCAGTCCTTGTGATGAGCCCTGCATGTCCCTTGGCTAAGAGCGGAACAACTTGGGTATGTTGTGGCTGAGTTGTTTGTTTTGTGTCTTGGGAGCTTGAGAGCAGAAAGCCAATATACTTCTGCAGGTTTTTCCCCATGATGGCTCGTGAAATGCCTCAGCTGCAGTTTTGCCTCTGTGAGCAGGGGGCTCTAGGACCCAAGTTTCAGGCCATCTTAGGACCAGAGTCAAACCACCAGTTTCAGTCTTTCCATCTCATCAAAGGCTTCTGCATGGTTCACTGGAGATGTTTGGATGGGTTCTAAATTTGCAGAAGCCTGTCTTCGTTCCAACCCAGAGGTTGAAATATTTAGGTCTGATTCTGGATATTGTCTAGACAGGAGTGATCTTCCCTCTGGACAAATGCTTCTTCAGGGCAGTGGCCTTTGCCAAGTTTCTTTCCAGACCCCTCCCTCCTTTTTTTTTTTTTTTTTTTCACTAGTGTCCAATTATTTGAAGGTGGCAGTAATAACCCTATTGTAATGACTATGAAGGTGTCCTGTGATGTATTAAAAAAAAAAAAAAAAAGATTTTTTCCTTTTTATAAAAAAACAAAAACAAAGCGTAATTAAATACCACCAAAGCAAACCTCTTTCTGTTTAAAAAAATATATTTACAATCCATTTGGGTGCAGTGTTGAATGACTAAGTAATTGTCAGTTAAACTGTTACAGCATTGAAAGCTAAAAAATGACCTGGACAGGAAGTGGGTGTGTAACACGTTGGCATTGAGGTGGTTAAATTCTTGTTTCATCATCATCTCCTGTTTTTTGCAGCTTCTGAGATCCAGATGATGTTACCCCAGGGGCAATATGTCATCACCGAGGCAACTGTGGGCACTCCTGTTGCTCCGGTGACTAGTGGTCAAGTGAAAGCAATACAGGTAAGAGCGGTGATGGCTATTGTAGCTTTCATGCTAAACGTTTTTGGACACCTGGCCATCACACCTATGTGATCCTCTTGGACATCCCATTGCGTGTTTCTCAAACTATTACCACACAATTGGAAATGCACAGTTGTCTAAAATGTCTTTGCATATGGTATATTTTACAGTACCTTTCACTGGAAACACCTAAACTTATTTGGAGGGGGTCCACATACTTTTGGTCATATAGTGAATGTCCAGCTACACCATGTTTTTACTTATTTGCTTTGTATCCTCCAGACACATTATGTCATATCAGAGAGCCAGGGCGATGTGGAGATGAAGAAGAATGGCAGTTTGACTGAAGAAGTCTCTACCAGCTCAGAACAGCTTGAGCAAACAGGCACTAATCCTGCGCAGACAGCACAGTACATTATCGCCACCAACATGAACGGGAGCAACGAGGTGCATATTTCTAAACCATGAGATTGGAATAGGGATCCTTGCTGTTCATACCCTGCTCAGCGACATTGGACCGACAGCTCAAATTCTGGGCTGTCCTGAATCAACCACCAGAGTGACGGCAATATTGTGTAATCCACGTCTGCCATGAACATTTTGTATGTATGACTATGAGCAGCTCCTGGCACAGGGCATTCGTTTCTGGAATTTCCCCAGAGACCTGGTAAAACTGCTTGTAAATGGTCATCAGGCATGGCTTGTTTCATTCCATTGACTTTCTGGTTCTCTGTGTGTTGCACAAAGTGATAGCAGTGGCTTCTTGGATGGGGAAGAGATTCATTCCTGATTGGACAGCAGCGGCTCTCTCTGATTCCTTTTTAGACAGCAGCAGCACTCCTTCTGCTCTGCAGGTTAAGGAAACCATCGGCAGGGCCGATAATGCTATGGCCATATTGGTCCTATTGGAAGGTCACTCCCGTCGAGGCTGAAGTACATATTGTGCTATTATTGTTCCTCGGATTATACTGGAATCTCACCTGTATTTTCTTCATGCTTTGTACTTTGTGTTTTTAATGCAGACTCACGCTGACTTTTTTTTTTCTTCGACAGAGATGTTACAAGCTCAATTTTATTCTATAAATAGCCTCTAATTTAATCTCCTGAAAAGCCTCAGACCCAATTCCCCATCTAATTATTTATTTTCAGTTTCTTGTGTTCTATAAAAAAAGTTTTGTGGGGTTTTCTTTATTTTGTTTAATCCCATTTCTTACAGTCCTGTCCATGTTTGAATTATACAACAATAATCTCCGGCCTTTGAGCTCTAACCCAAAGTGCAAGATACTGTGAAGACGGACCTCATCAGATGTCTTTCATTCTAGGACCAGAAATACCGTGTCCTGTTCTCAAATAAAACAAACCCAAAAGTTGGATTCTTTGTTTCTTGTTGATGGTGAACTGTACAGCTGATAACGGTGATATACCCTGCTGCACAAAATTTTTTAAAAAAGTGTTTGAAGTAGGTGTACACCCAGGATCTAAAATCTCCTATAAACTTTAACCACCTTACTATAGCTGTGTTGGAGAAAAATGGCGGGAAGGTGGATGCTTGTTTTTGGAGCGCCATTTATACACAATGCCTGTGATCACACTTTCATTAGAAAGGGCAGATCTGAGGCAATGAAAAGAGCCAATCTGTGTGACTCATTACCATGAGATCACAAGCGTCAAAGCCGCTTGTGTTTAAGAACATCCACTCACAATGGAGGACGAATTTCAGGAGGAAAGGGATTGGCAGCACCAGATTCAGGGTGGTGGTGGGGTTTAAAGTGCACTGCCTACCAGTGATTGGGATCAGGTTTTAAAATGATTGGGAGAAGAGGGAATTTTATTGCTTCTGCTTGGCTTCTATAACTTTTAAAACAGAAAGTAAGATAAAGGTTTATCTTATTGGTCAGTACAGGTCACAGTCAAAGTATCCATAGACCCTTTATAGGCTTGTATTTTCTGGGGATTGGACATTGGCAAAGTTTTTAAGGATATGTCCCTTGGGTGCCTCCTCTATAATCCTACCCTGCTTCATGAATCTGCTGTTTTTGCTAGTGTCCTAAGGTGAAGAAATACTACTTCCTCTTAGCTTAAATTGTTAATTTGCCTTTTAAATATCTGCTCTTCTCTGTGCACCGCTTCCAGGACAGACATTTTGGTTTTCAATGGTATCACTACTGTCTTGTACACTAATCATACAGTTGCAAGAAAAAGTATGTGAACCCCTTGGGATTACGTGGAGTTTTGCATGAATTGGGCATAAAATGTGCTCTGAACGTCATCTAAGTCACAACAATAGAAGAACACAGTCTGCTGAACATAATACTACACAAACATTAGATGTTGCCATGGTTTAATTGCACATCACATGTAAACATTTACAGTGCAGGGAGGAAAAAGTATGTGAGGCTTAATGCTAGCTTAATGACTTCTCCCAGAGCTAATTGGAGCCAGGAGTGAGCCAACCTTGACTCCAGTGTGATGATATTGGCTGTGTTGCTGACAGCTGTCCTGCCCTTAAAAAAAACACACCTGTTTTGGGTTTACTGTTTTCAAGAAGCACTGTCTGATGTGAACCATGCCTCGCAGAAAAGAGCTTTCAGAAGACCTACGATCAAGAATTGTTGACTTGCATGAAGCTGGAAAGGGTTACAAAAGTATCTTCAAAAGCCTTGATGTTCATATGTCCACGGTAAGACAGACTGTCTACAAATGGAGAAAGTTTAGCACTGTTGCTACTCTCCCAAGGCGTGGTCGTCCTGTAAAAATGACTGCAAGAGCACAGCGCAGAATGCTGCATGAGGTAAAGAAGAATCCCAGAGTGTCAGCTAAAGACCTACAGAAATCTCTGGCACATGCTAACATTTTTGTTGACACATCTACAATAGGGAAAACATTAAACAAGAATGGAGTACATGGGAGGACACCACGGAGGAAGCCATTGCTGTCCAAAAAGAATATTGCAGCACGTTTGAAGTTTGCAAAAGAGCACCTGGATGTCCCACAGCACTACTGGCAAAATATACTGTGGACAGATGAAACCAAGATTGAGTTGTTTGGGAAGAACACACAACACTATGTGTGGAGAAAAAAAGGCACAGCACACCAACATCAAAACCTCATCCCCACTGTAAAACATGGCGGAGGGAGCATCATGGTTTGGGGCTGCTTTGCTGCCTCAGGGCCTGGACGGATTGTTTCCATTGATGGGAAAATGAATTCCAGAGTTTATCAAGACATTTTGCAGGAAAACGTATGACCATCTCTCCGCCAACTGAAGCTCTGCAGAGGATGGGTGTTGCAACAGGACAATAACCCAAAGCATACAAGTAATTCAACAAAACAATGGCTGCAACAGCACAGAATACGCCTTCTGGAGTGGCCCAGTCAGAGTCCTGACCTCAACCCGATTGAAATGCTGTGGCATGACCTTAAGAGAGCGATTCACACCAGACATCCCAAGAATATTGCTAAACTGAAACAGTTTTGTGAAGAGGAGTGGTCCAAAATGACTCCAGATCGTTGTGCAGGTCTGATCTGCAACTACAGGAAACGTTTGGTTGAGGTTATTGCTGCCAAAGGAGGGTCAACCAGTTATTACGTCCAAAGGTTCACGTACGTACTTTTTCCTCCCTGCACTGTGAATGTTTACATGTTATGTGCAATTCAACCATGGCAACCTCTAATGTTTGTGTAGTATTATGTTCAGCAGACTGTTCTATTGTTGTGACTTAGATGACGTTCAGAGCACATTTTATGCCTAATTCATGCAAAACTCCACGTAATCCCAAGGGGTTCACATACTTTTTCTTGCAACTGTATACTGTGGTCCTGGCGAGTACACAACGCATTTCATACATTCCTAGACCCACTTCATCAGGTGTCTGTGAAGGCACTATTACAATAAAAAATTCAGTATAGAAGTCTCAAAATGATGATAACCACAATAGTGACCACACTATGGGGGTATCAATGTTTGACCGTCCACAGTTGGGAGAACAGATGATAATTGTCTTGTTGGTCAACCAAATGTTATCCAGATTATAGCCTTATTATAATATTGATTGGCCGGTATCTTACTACCTATTTATAATAATTATTTTAACTTTTTATTGGTTAAACTAGATTGTATTCCATGGTCTAGACATTGAAGTCGCTATAGAAGCAAGCTCATCAAACGTTCAGGGTGATATTACGGATCCCAAAGCAATAATATATATATATTCCTGAAATAGAATGGAAGCCACCAATCACATATTCATGACCCAGAACCACAGTCAAATAGTATTTTCAAAAGACCATATCTAAGAGGTTTATACTGTCTGGAATTAAGTATACTTTGATAAAGACCCATATACCACTTCTCACACCTTTTATCCCTCCAAGGGATGGGGGGGGGTTAAAGGTATATTTTATTTTTTATTACTCTCATAACTATTATCCATAAGGGTAGCATTACATACAGCTTCCATGCCTACAATAAACATACCTGCACATTGTATTCATCACTTTTATACCTGTTGTCCATTAAAGTGGGCACTGCATGCAGCTGCCATAATCCTCTGAACACACGTCTGCACCTCACCACCCCAGGCGCTCACAGCAGATATTTTATATACTGCTCAAAAAAATTAAAGGAACACTTTTTAATCCGAGTAAGTCAAAATTCAACTCCTGGGATATTGATCTGGTCAGTTAAGTAGCAGAGGGGGTTATTATTCAGTTTCAGCTACTTTGGTGTTAATGAAATTAACAACAGGTGCACTAGATGGGCAACAATAAGACAACCCCCCAAAATAGGAATGGTTTTACAGGTGAAAGCCACTGACATTTTTTTCCCTACTCATCTTTTCTGACTGTTTTTCATTTGGCTAAGGTCAGTGTCACTTCTGGTAGCATGAGGCGATTATCTGGACCATACAGAGCCTCAAGAGCATGGAGGAGATTCCAGGAGACAGGCAGTTACTCTAGGAGAGATGGACAGGGCCGTAGAAGGTCCTTAACCCATCAGCAGGACCGGTATCTGCTCCTTTGTGCAAGGAGGAACAGGATGAGCACTGCCAGAGCCCTACAAAATGACCTCCAGCAGGCCACTGCTGTGAATGTCTCTAACCAATCAGAAACAGACTTCATGAGGGTGGCCTGAGGGCCCGATGTCCTCTAGTGGGCCCTGTACTCACTGGCCAGCACCAAAGTGCTTGATTGGCAATTGCCATTGAACACCAGAATTGGCAGGTCTGCCACTGGCACCCTGTACTTTTCACAGATGAGAGCTGGTCACCCTGAGCACATGTGACAGACATGAAAGGGTCTGGAGAAGCCGTGGAGAACATTATGGTGCCTTTAACATCGGTCAGCATGACCATTTTGGTGGTGAGTCAGTGATGGTCTGGGAAGGCATATCCATGGAGGAACACACAGACCTTTACAGGCTAGACCAGAGTTTCTCAACCTTTTTACTTTGGAGGAACCATTGGCAA